GGCTGCAGACCCGGGACTGAGGCTGCAGACCCGGGACTGAGGCTGCAGACCCGGGACTGAGGCTGCAGACCCGGGACTGAGGCTGCAGACCCGGGACTGAGGCTGCAGACCCGGGACTGAGGCTGCAGACCCGGGACTGAGGTTGCAGACCCGGGACTGAGGCTGCAGACCCGGGACTGCGGCTGTAGACCCGGGACTGAGGCTGTAGACCCGGGACTGAGGCTGCAGACCCAGGACTGAGGCTGCAGACCCAGGACTGAGGCTGCAGACCCGGGACTGCGGCTGTAGATCCGGGACTGAGGCTGTAGACCCAGGACTGAGGCTGTAGACCCAGGACTCATGCTGTGGACCCAGGACTGAGGCTGTAGACCCGGGACCGCGGCTGTAGACCCAGGACCGAGGCTGCAGACCCAGGACCGCGGCTGTAGACCCAGGACCAAGGCTGTAGACCCAGGACCAAGGCTGTAGACCCAGGACTGAGGCTGTAGATCCAGGACCGAGGCTGTAGACCCAGGACTGAGGCTGCAGACCCAGGACTGAGGCTGCAGACCCAGGACCGAGGCTGGGCCTAAATCTTTGTGAGAGTTTTCATTGAAGCAAAAACAATTAAATCTGCGACTAAGAAACTAATAAATTGGTGAAATGTGGAAGTGTATTTGGGGATAAAAAGTCAGAGATCAGACCAATTACTGTCACCTCCGTCGACTCTAAAGGTCTGGAACAAAAGAGAGAGAGACGGAGGCTTAAACTGTGACCTGAGTAGACTGAACAAATCCATGACGCAACATTAAAGTTTCCCATGAAGAAGAGTGCAGTCAGATGGACGAATGAGTAACGATAAGATACTCATGAAGAAGAGTGCAGTCAGATGGACGAATGAGTAACAATAAGATACTCATGAAGAAGAGTGCAGTCAGATGGACGAATGAGTAACGATAAGATACTCATGAAGAAGAGTGCAGTCAGATGGACGAATGAGTAACAATAAGATACTCATGAAGAAGAGTGCAGTCAGATGGACGAATGAGTAACGATAAGATACTCATGAAGAAGAGTGCAGTCAGATGGACGAATGAGTAACGATAAGATACTCATGAAGAAGAGTGCAGTCAGATGGACGAATGAGTAACGATAAGATACTCATGAAGAAGAGTGCAGTCAGATGGACGAATGAGTAACGATAAGATACTCATGAAGAAGAGTGCAGTCAGATGGACGAATGAGTAACGATAAGATACTCATGAAGAAGAGTGCAGTCAGATGGACGAATGAGTAACGATAAGATACTCATGAAGAAGAGTGCAGTCAGATGGACGAATGAGTAACGATAAGATACTCATGAAGAAGAGTGCAGTCAGATGGACGAATGAGTAACAATAAGATACTCATGAAGAGTGCAGTCAGATGGACGAATGAGTAACAATAAGATACTCATGAAGAAGAGTGCAGTCAGATGGACGAATGAGTAACGATAAGATACTCATGAAGAAGAGTGCAGTCAGATGGACGAATGAGTAACAATAAGATACTCATGAAGAAGAGTGCAGTCAGATGGACGAATGAGTAACAATAAGATACTCATGAAGAAGAGTGCAGTCAGATGGACGAATGAGTAACGATAAGATACTCATGAAGAAGAGTGCAGTCAGATGGACGAATGAGTAACAATAAGATACTCATGAAGAAGAGTGCAGTCAGATGGACGAATGAGTAACAATAAGATACTCATGAAGAAGAGTGCAGTCAGATGGACGAATGAGTAACGATAAGATACTCATACTCAAAGAGAGGACAACGATAATGATAATAAAGTTTTATAATAGCACTTTTCTTCACATGTCTCGGTGTAGTCTCGTGGAGTCCTGTTTTAGTCTTGGTATAATCTCGGTGAAGGGCTGGTTTAGTCTCGGTGAAGGGCTGGTTTAGTCTCGGTGAAGTCTCGGTGTAGTCCTGGTGTAGTCTCGGTGTAGTCCTGGTGTAGTCTCGGTGTAGTCCTGGTGTAGTCCTGGTGTAGTCTCGGTGTAGTCCTGTGTAGTCCTGTGTAGTCCTGGTGTAGTCTCGGTGTAGTCTCGGTGTAGTCTCGGTGTAGTCACGGTGTAGTCTCGGTGTAGTCCTGGTGTAGTCTTGGAGTGGGCCTGGTTTAGTCTCGGTGTAGTCCTGGTGTAGTCCTGGTGTAGTCTCAGTTTAGTATTGGTGTAGTCTCGGAGTAGGCCTGGTTTAACATGCTAACACTCGCACCGGCTAACGTCACTATGAACTTTGCCTTGAAACTCGTCGTAGCCTGATCCGGTGAAAACGCAGCTTTAAACTGACATTAAATCATTTTGTGTCCAGTTCAAACGGTCGTCTCAGTAACATTAAACATGAAAACCTGCAGCTTAACCAACATTAACCTCATACTGGTGCGGCTTATACACAGGCGAGACTTATAGCCCAGAAAGTATAGTAAATTTAATTATAATAACCTGTTTTAATGTAGTTTAATATAAATCCAGGTTTGTTTTGATAGTGGGAACAATGATTAAAAAGGAATTAGCATAAAGCGTGTCCTTTTCACACTAAAGAAAGTGAAAAATTGGCTGAAAGTGGAACAATAATAATGAGTATTTAGAGATCAGTGGAAGCGAGAGGAGGAGAGAGCGGCGGCTGCTTAAGTCAAATGACTCATTAGGGCTTTTATCTGGCGTTCTTGTGTGTGCCGCCCAATTATCCTTAAATTCACAATTACGGCAGAGAGTAAACCAAGCCCCTCGGCGACTCCGCGGCTAATGCGGCGCTGGCCTCACGCAAAAAACAACACGCTATTTTTAGAGTGCTTCATGGACAAAAAAAAATCCCACTCTCAGGGCGCATGGATGATCCTCTTTGTTTAAACTCGATTCAATAGTTATGGAGGAAAAAACATCCTCCCGGAGAGAGATCGATGGTCGAGATGTCGGGAGGGGGGTGAGGGGGGTGAGGGGGGAGAGGGGGGAGACGGGGGGTGAGGGGGGAGACGGGGGAGACGGGGGAGCAGCGGAAGGGCTATTGAACGAGCGCGAGGAGGCCAGGTCTGAGCCAATCGATACCGGCGTTCGAGATTCACCCATGGAACAGTCCGAGCGCAGAGGGAGGGGAGAGGGAGGGGAGAGGATGGGAGACCAGTGCCTCTCTCTGTGGACTTTGAATGTTTCATAACAAGACGCCGGAGGAAAAATGTGACGATTACAAACGTTTAGCGATACTTGGGCCACGATTCAATATTATTGTGATTCTTAAAAGGTATATGAGGATTTTCCCGAATTTTAGGAAAGAACCGCCCTTCTCACAGGGAATGAATTAAAATATGTCTTGCATTTGACCAGAATTATTGTACAATAAAGACAACCAATAGTTTAGATGATTCACGAGAAGAAGAAAATCCTCTCATAAACCTTTAGCATATTTTAATTCTTTTTAAATATTGCAATACTGGCTCTACTGTATTGATTTTAGTCCAGTAGACCCAGGACTGAGGCTGCAGACCCAGGACTGAGGCTGTAGATCCTGGAGCAGCTGATCTACTCACAGAGGACTGAATATTATCGTGAACTTCCCTTATTTTCCAAATCAAAAGTTTGTAATATTTGTCCGTCTTGTGAATGGCGTTACATTGAAAACTGCAGTAGACACAGTACTTTCAGCTTTAACTACAACAGAATCTCACAAAAACACAGAGTCAAGCCAGAAATATGTTGTTTTGGCGATGTGGAAGTAGCCTGATCAGTGCCCGAGCGAAACACCTCCTGCCCCATTTTTATTACTTTGATCCATTGTTTGGGAAAAAAGCAGCGATCTAATCCACCGACACGGAGCCATGTCCGCCCTCAACGGAACAGAGAAGCATCTGTCCAGTCAGGTTAGCTCTGCCAAGTACCAGTGCCCCCCGACCTTGAGCCCGCCCCCCCTCCCGGAGAGCCTGAGTGACAGATGGGCCTCGATAGTTTGAAGTGGGAGAGGCCGTGGTTAAAAGCACGACGGTAGAGCCGCACGCCGCAGGGGTCCGGGGTGAATACACGCTCTAACCATGATCCACCACAACACCCAGTTTGAAGCCGCTGGGTTTCATTTGTGGCGTTTTTCACTTCATTACACAATATATGGATAGAGTATTACTATCTTACAGCTGTTCCACCCGTGGCCACAGGGGGCGCCAGTGGTAATGCAGAATAAATTCAAGTTACGCAGAAAAAAGTCCCATAGAACTCTATTCAAACTAAAACAGCTCGACCTCAGCTGACAGAACCTACAGAGAACCAGACAGAGAACCTGACAGGAGGATTTTGTGGATGTTAGTTTCTCTGAACTTTTTTCTTCTTAAATTCTTTGGTTTTCTATAAATCCACTTTACTGCAACAAACTGCTCGTTTTCCTCCCGCTCTTACTCCACTCTGATAAGCAGCTCTAATTGGTCACAACGCTGCCCTCTGATTGGTCACAACGCTGCCCTCTGTGAAAGTGCGTTAGAGCCACACATGTGACCTCTTTAGTATTAGTATACAGGACAACTGATAATATGAGCTGTATTTGGATGGAGAGTGGTGGACTAGGTAATAACATGTTTGATGTTAATTCAGATTTATTACAGAAAGATCGAGAGAGAGAAAGAGAGATTGAGGAGAGAGCCCCTCAGAGTTCAAAGGTGAGCAGAGTACTTAGTACCTGATAGAGGAGATGGAGAGATAGAGCGAGAGGGATAGACAGAGAAAGGTCTGGAGGGATAGAGAGAATTAAAAGTATTGGGGTCTTCTATACCAGACAGTATAAGGTTTTGTGACGTTATTACCTTGACATGTTTCAACGGATAACTTCTGTCATGGTAATAACATCACAAAACCTTATATTGTCTGGTGTAGAAGAACCCAATACTTTTAATTCTACTAAGACGACAAGATGAATCTTCCTAAACTAGGGATAGAGAGAGAGATACAGATAGAGAGATATGGAGAGAGCCCCTCAGAGTTCAATCGTCCGCAGAGTACCTGGTTCTGAAACACGGGCACAGCCGCCTGTTGTCCTGGTGTCTGCGTGTCCATGGTGTCAGGGGCCCTTCTCTGCAACAGCAAAGACACAAAACAAAACACAGAAATGAATAATCCAATACAGCCTTGACCGTCTTTGGTGCTAACGCCGGCGTCGCCTCCTCCACCGGTGATCAATAAAACACTCCACCATCAAACACACACAATGCCCTGCTCCGGTTTCAGCCCGGCCGGACCCGACACCACCGGGAGGGCCTGGGGATCCGGTTCCAACAAAGCCAGTTAAAGACACGCAGCGATTTCTCTCCAACACAAAAGCGCGGACACGTAACAGCGGTTTGGATGTCCTTGGCACGGGGCCAGGCCGGTTTCTCGCCGAATTACGGCGTTGGCATTGGCCGTGTGCGGAGGTCACACAGAGGTGGTGCTGGTGGTACTTTTGGCTTCTGGCCTGAGCACAGCGTGAGGCGTTCAAGGACACACGGAGCAAGGTTTAAGCAGCAGGACCGGGCGACAAAGTGGAACCAACAAATGTTTAAGTGATGTTAGCGGCTTACGGACATCTACGGTGGCCCTGCGGGGTCAGGTTTGGGGACGGAGAGGATACAGGGTGAATGCTTTCTGTGAAGAGACAGAACTGTGGATTCCCAGAGCGAGAGTTGGAGATTTTAAATTATTTTAGTTCAGAGTTAATGTTCATTATTTTACTAGTTTTAAGATAATTCTTCATAATCTTAAAAAATCACTGCTCAGACTTTTTATGAGTATTGTTTTCTTGTTTAGATAACATAAGTTTGAGATGCTATATTTTAAGAAAAGCAAATCTAAAACATTTTTAAGAAATAAGAAAATGATTTTAAACTAGAATCAAGACTAGTTTTATTTTATTTTCAGAAATCTTGTCCAGTCATATTTTCTATCTTATTATTTTATAGAATTATTATTATTATTTTTTTTCATTACTCTTTATTTTTTTATTCTTATTATATTATTTTTTATTTTTTTTATTTTTTTTATTTATTATTTTCATAGTTTTTCTCTTATTTTTTCTAGTGATTTTTCCCGTGTACTTCCTAATCCCCACATTCCCACAGTATAATGCGTTCTTTGTTCTGATGTGGACGTGTCTTTGAGGCGGTCAGCTACAGTTTCCGGGGGGAGGGGACGTTAGCGAACATCAAAGGCTGCGAAAACACCTTGGAATAAAGTCCTGACTCGACAACATTATAATCCATGCACAACGGCGTTCGCAAAACAGCCGCGATAAGAAGCACTAACTGAATAATTTACCAAAATCCTTGGAAAAAAGCATGATGCAAAAATGAGATGCACGGATGAAATTAGCTCACGAGTCTGACGAGATTTACGAGATTTTTTGACGGATGGCCGTGGGTTCGCGGCAGTCCCGATGCTAAACATACTTTACATGCTAACATAGCTCAACGATTAGCTAGCGCCGGCCCATTCATAATTCATGCTTCGATCTCGGCGTGTTCAATATGCAACAGGAGGCCTTCGACGTGCAGAGTGGGTTCCAACTAAATGGATTCAGAGAAAAGCAAAACGACACGCTCTTCTGGATGTGCGGAAAGAGGGGATTGAAGAAAGAAAAAGATAAAAAAGGATAAAAGTTTGTTTTTTAGTGGATTTTGTGGAAAAGAAAAAAAAAACCCATATATACACTTATACTGTACTTATCTGCTATACCAACGTCTGTGGCCATTAAAACACAGTGGGACTAATGAACAGACATCATTCACACGCACATGTTAGAGCGAGTGGTCAGACCTCTGAAGCTAAGCAGGGCAGGGCCTGGTTAGCACTGTGATGGGAGACCTCTGGGTACATTGTGACATGGTGGCCGAGTGGATATAGCACTCTCGCTTCTCAGCAGGAAGGTCCTGGCTTCGAATCCCGGTCGATACGGAGTCGTTCTGAGCTGAGTTTGCATGTTCTCCCCCCCGTGTCTGTGTAGGTTTGCTCCAGGTGCTCCGGTTTCCCCTACCACTAAAAACAGGCAGATACTCGAAAAGGAGTGGGAAGAAGAATGCAAGTTTCTCTCTCGTGGATATAATATTTATAATTGTGTATTATGTAAACGTAGCTCAGGGTTTTTTATGTACAATTTTGATATTCTTGTACACTTCATTGCTCCAAATAATAATGAAGTGTATTATGTGTATTATTATTATTATTATTATGCACATCAGGTAAAATCCTCCAGCTCTGGTCTTGGTCTTGGTCCTGACAAAGCAGAGTATAAACATCTGGGTCTGGGCGCTGTTACTACGGCAACCACTGCTCCTGACGTAAGCCTCAGTGGGTCAAATGCAGAGGACGAATTGCCGTACTACCACAGTCCAGTCCAGTCCAGTTTATATATTTAGCACTAATAAAAACACCAAGCTTGACCAAAGTGCTGTACATAAAAATACACACAGAAATATACAATTATTAAATAAAAAGCAGTGGCAAAAAACACAATATTAACAGCAAAACAATCAATTCAAAATCAGTTAAAAGCCAAAGACATAAAAACAGGAAGTGAATCAAAAGTGCACGTTTACATTTCCAAGGTGCCACAGTGGTCATTGTTCTTACAGTATAATTATCTGCTTTTAGGGCTAAAGACAAAAACATTAGAGTTTCAGAGATTGTAAACATCTGGATCTAGCTCTTTAAGGTGGTATTTTCCATGCAGATTGTTGTCCACAGCACTTTGGCCTCCTTTGGCTCTGTGAAGGACTTGGAAGTGGATGAAGTCTTGTGTGACATTTGCCAGTGTCTCTGAGCCTCTGTGGAAATGGACCTGAATTCTCTCCGGAGTCCGGCCAATTAAAAGTGTTGGCGAGGGAGGGGCGGGTATTAAAGGTTACGCAAGAGAGCGGAACGAGTCCATTCCACTGCCAATTTATTCTGAACTAATCTCTATCATTGGGAGCGCTCAAAATGACAGAGAGGCTTTCGAAATGGCAGGAAAGAGAAGGATGTGAAGGAGAGTTTGGGAGGTGGGGAATCTATATTTATGGTGGGAATTGACAAAAATGTGACGATTCGATAGTATTAAGATAATTAGGCCACAATTCAATATTTTTTGCAATTCATAAAAAGGTATAAAAGAGGATTTCCCCAAATGTTAGGAAAGAACCGCCCTCTCTAAGTTTTGAACAAAACTCTGGTCTTATTGGACGTATCAGCAGAATGACTGACACTCAGGAGGACCAATGGTGTTGATGATCCACCAGGAAGTAGAAAATCCTCCTTTAGACCTTTAACACACAGCGATACTGCAAGTTTTGTGATTTGATTCTGCGATATTGGGATTCATGAAACTCGATTTAACTACTGTAGTAGCTTTGGCTAATTCTTATTCTGGGTCCCCCCCACAGGCCTGGGGTGGTACTGCAGTATGTCAGCAGAAGTCATTTTGGACAGTTTTGAGCCGGGACCCGCACCCACTGGTCACAGAGTCTTGCAGAGGACAAAGTTTGCGACAGGGATGAATTAAGTTTACATTTTCACATCATTTGAAACCATTAACCAGAAAATACACAAAGACGTTTCTCAGTCAAATAAAAACACGAAACATAATTTGTCGTGATGGGCATAGAATCCACCTTCTTTCAAAACACCAACCTTTCAGCTGCAAGTGGTCTAACTCACCGGACTAACCCACCGATCTAACCCACCGGTCTAACCCACCGGTCTAACCCACCGGCCTAACCCACCGGTCTAAGCCACCGGCCTAACCCACCGGTCTAACCCACCGGTCTAACCCACCGGCCTAACCCACCGGCCTAACCCACCGGCCTAACCCACCGGTCTAACCCACCGGTCTAACCCACCGGTCTAACCCACCGGTCTAACCCACCGGTCTAACCCACCGGTCTAACCCACCGGTCTAACCCACCGGTCTAACCCACCGGTCTAACCCACCGGCCTAACCCACCGGCCTAACCCACCGGTCTAACCCACCGGTCTAACCCACCGGTCTAACCCACCGGTCTAACCCACCGGCCTAACCCACCGGTCTAAGCCACCGATCTAACCCACCGGTCTAACCCACCGGTCTAACCCACCGGTCTAACCCACCGGCCTAACCCACCGGCCTAACCCACCGGTCTAACCCACCGGTCTAACCCACCGGCCTAACCCACCGGCCTAACCCACCGGTCTAACCCACCGATCTAACCCACCGGTCTAACCCACCGGTCTAACCCACCGGCCTAACCCACCGGTCTAAGCCACCGGCCTAACCCACCGGTCTAACCCACCGGTCTAACCCACCGGCCTAACCCACCGGCCTAACCCACCGGTCTAACCCACCGGTCTAACCCACCGGTCTAACCCACCGGTCTAACCCACCGGTCTAACCCACCGGCCTAACCCACCGGTCTAAGCCACCGGTCTAACCCACCGGTCTAACCCACCGGTCTAACCCACCGGCCTAACCCACCGGCCTAACCCACCGGCCTAACCCACCGGTCTAACCCACCGGTCTAACCCACCGGTCTAACCCACCGGTCTAACCCACCGGTCTAACCCACCGGTCTAACTCACCGGTCTAACCCACCGGTCTAACTCACCGGTCTAACTCACCGGACTAACCCACCGATCTAACCCACCGGCCTAAAAACACCGGTCTAAAAACACCGGTCTAAAAACACCGGTCTAAAAACACCGGTCTAAAAACACCGGTCTAAAAACACCGGTCTAACCCACCGGTCTAACCCACCGGTCTAACCCACCGGTCTAACCCACCGGTCTAACCCACCGGCCTAACCCACCGGCCTAACCCACCGGTCTAACCCACCGGTCTAACCCACCGGTCTAACCCACCGGTCTAACCCACCGGTCTAACCCACCGGTCTAACCCACCGGCCTAACCCACCGGTCTAAGCCACCGATCTAACCCACCGGTCTAACCCACCGGTCTAACCCACCGGTCTAACCCACCGGCCTAACCCACCGGTCTAACCCACCGGCCTAACCCACCGGGTCTAAGCCACCGGTCTAAACCCACCGGTCTAACCCACCGGTCTAACCCACCGGCCTAACCCACCGGCCTAACCCACCGGCCTAACCCACCGGTCTAACCCACCGGTCTAACCCACCGGTCTAACCCACCGGTCTAACCCACCGGTCTAACCCACCGGTCTAACTCACCGGTCTAACCCACCGGTCTAACTCACCGGTCTAACTCACCGGACTAACCCACCGATCTAACCCACCGGCCTAAAAACACCGGTCTAAAAACACCGGTCTAAAAACACCGGTCTAAAAACACCGGTCTAAAAACACCGGTCTAAAAACACCGGTCTAAAAACACCGGTCTAAAAACACCGGTCTAAAAACACCGGTCTAAAAACACCGGTCTAAAAACACCGGTCTAAAAACACCGGTCTAAGCCACCGGTCTAACCCACCGGTCTAGCCACTGGTAATTGTGCTAAAGCTGCAAACCCAGTGACCCGCCCTTTCTTCATGCTACATCAAATTAAAATGCCAAAAGGCGCTCGGTCTGGATTTTGCCGGGACATTTTCCTCCTGTCTCTCACACCTCAGCCGTGGGATTGGTTAAACCGGGCTGGCACCCTGCGAGTCCTCCTTGGCCTCCTGACTGCGCTGCTGCCTGTGGAAATGTCAAAACATCCAGGGGGCATCCGCGCTCTGAGCTGAAAGGCCTCACCTCCCACGGCCCACATTAACCAGATCAATTAAGACTGCCATGTCACATTAACACGCCACGGAGGAAACGGAATCATTAATTACCTTCTCTCGCTGGGGAGGAGCGAGAGAGAGCGGGAGGAGCGAGAGAGAGAGAGAGAGAGAGAGCAGGGAGGAGCGAGAGAGAGAGAGAGAGAGCAGGGAGGAGCGAGAGAGAGCAGGGAGGAGCGAGAGAGAGCGGGAGGAGCGAGAGAGAGCGGGAGGAGCGAGAGAGAGCAGGGGGAGCGAGAGAGAGCGGGAGAGAGAGAGAGAGAGAGAGAGAGAGCGGGAGGAACGAGAGAGAGCAGGGGGAGCGAGAGAGAGCGGGAGGAGCGAGAGAGAGCAGGGAGGAGAGAGAGAGAGAGAGCAGGGAGAGAGAGAGAGAGAGCAGGGAGGAGAGAGAGAGAGAGCGGGAGGAGAGAGAGAGAGAGCAGGAGGAGAGAGAGAGAGAAGGAGGAGAGAGAGAGCGCGGGAGGAGCGAGAGAGAGCAGGGAGGAGCGAGAGAGAGCGGGAGGAGCGAGAGAGAGCGGGAGGAGCGAGAGAGAGCAGGGAGGAGCGAGAGAGAGCAGGGAGGAGCGAGAGAGAGCAGGAGGAGAGAGAGAGAGAGGGTGAGATCTGGGTCTATCAAAGCTGACGATGAAACGCAGGAATGCGGAGCTAAAGATTGACAAAACTTTCGTCATGTAAAAACTAATTTGATCCAATCCCTCTCTCTCTCCCTCCCTCTCCCTCTCTTTATCTTCTTCTCCATCTCTCTTCTCCCTCCCATCCTCTCTTCCTCTTTTCCCCTTCGACACCTCCCTCACTCTTCCCCTCCCTCTCTCTCTCTCTCCCCCACTCTCCCCCCACCATCTCTCCCCCTCCCCTCCCCTCTCTCCTCTCTCCCCCTCCCTCTCTCCTCCACTCTCTCCCCCTCCATCTCCCTCTCTCTCCCTCCCCCTCTCCCCTCTCTCCTCTCTCCTCTCTCTCCCCTCTCCCCTCTCTCCTCTCTCTCCCTCTCCCTCCCCCACTCTCTCCCTCCCTCTCTCCTCTCTCCCCTCTCTCTCTCTCTCTCCCCCACTCTCTCCCTCCCTCTCTCTCTCTCCCCCACTCTCTCCCTCCCTCTCTCTCTCTCCCCCACTCTCTCCCTCCATCTTCCCCTCCTCTCCCTCCATCTCCCCCTCCTCTCCCCCTCTCTCCTCCTCCCTCCCCCTCCCTCCCCCTCCCTCCCCCTCCCTCCTCCCCCTGCCCTCCCCTCCCCTCCCCCTCCCCTCCCCTCCCCTCCCTCCCCCTCCCTCCCCCTGCCCTCCCCTCCCCTCCCTCCCCCTCCCTCCTCCCCCTGCCCTCCCCTCCCCCTCCCCCTCCCTCCCCCTCCCCTCCCCTCCCCTCCCCTCCCCTCCCTCCCCCTCTCTCCCAGTGGTCACTGTAGCCCTGTCCTGCTCTTGGTCTGTGTCTAGTTCAATAGTTTAGTTCTAAGACTGCAGTGAGCTCAGATCCCTGTTTCCACCGCTGCAGAAAGCCACAGAGATGATATTTCAGTGATATCTCGTCGTTAACAGTATTTTAGCATTGATTATGGTCAAACATTTATTCAAAATACAAACTATTATGTTTTATTTGCTAAAAAGTCAGAATCTAAGACACCAGTGGATTGGAATTAAATATTTAGTTTAATTTTGTAGTATTTCAAAATTGATCTCAAACACAAAGACAGCGGGTCTACGGCCTCGGTCCCGGGTCTACAGCCTCGGTCCCGGGTCTACAGCCTCGGTCCCGGGTCTACAGCCTCGGTCCCGGGTCTACAGCCTCGGTCCCGGGTCTACAGCCTCGGTCCCGGGTCTACAGCCTCGGTCCCGGGTCTACAGCCTCGGTCCCGGGTCTACAGCCTCGGTCCCGGGTCTACAGCCTCGGTCCCGGGTCTACAGCCTCGGTCCCGGGTCTACAGCCTCGGTCCCGGGTCTACAGCCTCGGTCCCGGGTCTACAGCCTCGGTCCCGGGTCTACAGCCTCAGTCCTGGGTCTACAGCCTCAGTCCTGGGTCTACAGCCTCAGTCCTGGGTCTACAACCCTGCTTCTATATAAAACTCATGTGTTTTTACTATTATCCAGAAAACAAGTAAACGTTAAGGCTTTTGAGGAGACTTCATTCTTTGAAAAATCATTCAACTCCAAAGTTTCTTGACATTAAAAATCTTACTACGGCAAAGTTTAGGAGCGCTGCAAGAATCAGCATTTAGGAAAACTCCCTGTAAATACTCATTAGCCGCAGAAACCACCGCGTCACATCAGCCGCAGTCGCTGAAGTCGCTTCGGCTTCTGACGTCCGGCACTTTTGTTAGCGGCGGTGGAAACACAAAGCCTGCGTCTGTCGTGCGGATGTGAGACTCTGAGGCTGCGACTGTGGCAGCTCAAAACTAAATCCCCAAAACTATTCTCGGCAAAGCGGCCCGCGACAGCTGTAGCGCCAAACGACTAGCATCCACTTTAGTTCAGCTCGCGACGCAATCAAGGCCAGACGCAGCCACTGTGTAGAAGCCAGTCGTGCTTTTGCCTTCTCTCACTGAAGTTAGCTTTGGCACGTACAGTTTCAGCGAAGACAAACTTTGAGAATGTGCAGCGTGAGCGGGTGCCAGATCAAGCCCTTGCTCATAAGCTGTTGTTTTTCCTGCAGGAGGAGAGGAGAAAAGAAACAAACTTCCACACATCCGGACCACCAACCTCCGAGTGTAAACAAAAGGAGCGTTCTGACTGTCTCCCGTCGAACGCGAGAGGCGGCGGCTCCTCGCAGCGGGGGAGCTCCACACCAAGGTAATTATGGGATGGAGGAGAGGCGCAGTGGGGCAGGAGAGGAGGAACAAAGCGGCGGCCGACAGGGAGGACGTGTGGACACAACATGGCGCCGCCTGGGATGGACGGACATTTGAAACGCTCCTGGTTGTTAGCATACGGACGCACGGAGAAGAACACAACAACCATTTCAAAGGAATAGTTACTGCCCATAGTTACGGTCCATAGTTACGGTCCATAGTTACGGTCCATAGTTACGGTCCATAGTTACGGGCCATAGTTACGGGCCATAGTTACGGGCCATAGTTACGGGCCATAGTTACGGGCCATAGTTACGGGCCATAGTTACGGGCCATAGTTACAGGCCATAGTTACAGGCCATAGTTACAGGCCATAGTTACAGGCCATAGTTACAGGCCATAGTTACAGGCCATAGTTACAGGCCATAGTTACAGGCCATAGTTACAGGCCATAGTTACAGGCCATAGTTACAGGCCATAGTTACAGGCCATAGTTACAGGCCATAGTTACAGGCCATAGTTACAGGCCATAGTTACTGGCCATAGTTACTGGCCATAGTTACTGGCCATAGTTACTGGCCATAGTTACTGGCCATAGTTACTGGCCATAGTTACTGGCCATAGTTACTGGCCATAGTTACTGGCCATAGTTACTGGCCATAGTTACTGGCCATAGTTACTGGCCATAGTTACTGGCCATAGTTACTGGCCATAGTTACTGGCCATAGTTACTGGCCATAGTTACTGGCCATAGTTACTGGCCATAGTTACTGCGACGGCGACCAAGGCAGCTTATACATCATCCATATTCTCAGGAAAACTACCTAAACCTAAAAAGGTATAGGAGGTATTTTCTTCTTCCGGGTGGATCCTCAGAGTCTAGACTATTGGTCCTACTAACTGTCAATCATTCTGAGGAGTGAGGTTATTACCGAAAATGTAATTCTTTCCAGTATTGTCTGTCTGTATACAGAATGTGGTTGACACATAAATCCTAAAAAGTCTAGAGACAGAGAGAGACCGAGAAATACAGAGAGACAGGGGGATAGAGAGAGAGAGAGAAAGATAGAGAGAGAGAGACACAGAGAGAGACAGAGAGCTACTCTTTTTTGCAGTCATAATAAAACTATGTCATAGTTTTGCAGTAAACACTCCGTAAAAAGTACCTTATTACTATAAAACCCTACATTATTGAACAGACTGAAAACTTGTATCGTTAAATTACACTCAAAATGTATTAGCATATGTCTTTGGCATCATGCGTCTAACTCCTGAATCCTTTGCGGAGCTTTCTGAAAGCGGTTGGAGAGCTACTGCTCTCTTATCGAGTAGCTCCCGATAAACAGGTTGGAGACCCCTGCTCTAGTCTGTGACTTCCTGTTACTCACAATGGGATTAAACAAACTGATTCCAATGACTACAGCTACAGGTTTTCTAGTATCCATCATCCCATTGGTCTAAAAGGTGAGCTACGGCAGAAGTGCTCGTTAATTGGTCTTGCTTTGGCCTTTTCCAGTAGAGTGAAAATAAGTGGGTATTGTTTAGATTTCTGTATCTCTGAGAAGGCGGAATGAAAAATGCTCAGAGAGCGCCACAGAAGGGGAAGCTAGTTATTTACAGCCCTCCAATAAGAATTTGTGGCTCAAGTTAGCATTGACTTTAGCTCCTTTTGAACCCCTCCCATCTGCATTATTCATCTGCCGCGAAAACAAAGTGCGCTGGGTTCGTTATGTAAAAAGGTACATCAAGGCGGCAGCTCTGAAAGGAACGATTCCCGCCGAGAAGAGTCTTCGGCTCGACCTGCGCTCGAGCCGAAGACGCGACCGCAGAGGCTAGCTACAAACGACAGACGGTGAGGAAATGTGAAGTGACAACGGTTCCGGCCCAAGCGTAGGATGAGAGGGAATCAAACGCCACCTTTGAGAAGCCCGGCAACGACAGGAACGAAGTGGTGGCCATGATTACAAGAAGTGGGAGAAGGCCTTTGAGTTTCTTGAAAGCCCACCCCAGGCCACGCACCGGCGATGGGGGAGACGGAGAGAGATGTTAGCCGCTAATGACGCCGCGGTCCGGGCACTACAGAGGCGCTAGCATACTTTCAAATTCATTCTAATCACTATACAAAATCATTAGTGTTGCGAACTGGAGGAGAGGACCAATTACACTTTGGTGCAAGCTTTGAGGACTTTTAAGGCGAGCGGAGACAGAAAGAAGAAGAAGGAGAAGGAGATGAAAATGAGGAAACTTTATTGTTTTGAGCGGGAAAAAACAGAAGAATAGATTAAGCAGAAAGAGCGAATGAGAAGACGACAAAAAAACTCATGGAACGGTCAAAGACTTGGGTTGTTTTTGCCAAATGTGAAACAAAAGCAGCGTTAACAAGAGCTAGCATGATAAGGTTGTGGAGCTCGTTAGGGTCCCGGAGTCGGCCGAGTCCAGCGGCAGAAAGAGAATTGCAAATTTATTTAAAAAAGGCAAAAATTACTTTCTCAACGCCAGGTTCAAAAATCTAAATCCAGAGTAACTTTGAGAAGATTTACAAACACTTTCCAAAAGCACTTCTTAAGCGACGCATGTGAATCAGAGGCAAAAGTCGAATTATAAGAGTTAGAAATGAGGTGAAAAAGTGAGAATCATAATAAACTGACTTTTTTTTGTCTTCAATAAATATAATTGTGTAGCAAAGTTAATCATTTCAGTGATCTCAAAACTTTAGTGTATTTTTATTTTGTCATTAAGTGTCACTGTTATTACTGTATTTTAATAACCTTTGGATTGGTCTTTGATGTGGAGCTTTAGTCCTGCGTTTTTATTTCTTCTTCATGTGTTCCCCGTCGTCTCCTACTATAAATTCTGGCTTTTCCCGCTGCTTCTTCTCTTCACAAACCCGTTTCAGGGAAGAGGTCCGTCTCCTTGTGTTTCTACGTCTGAAAATATCTGTTCTAATTATAGTTCTGTCCTTATTTACACTCATGTCCTTTAAGTTCATACTAATTTACGTTTATTGTCTCTCTATGTTGAATGACGTGTGTTACGGACACACTAAGTCTGGACTAAGACTGTGTTAGCGAGCAACATGCTAACATGCTAACATGCTAACTGTGTTTCATATTGTGACCAGACAAAAGAACTCTCCAAAGTCTCTCCACGTCACACTAAAACAACACAGAAGAAACATTCAACCCCAAATCGATTAATCTGTTCACCTTGAGAATAATTACTTTGGGATTTCATGTTTTATAATAATACGTTTCAATAGTGCTTTAATCAGGGTTCCACATTTACGGTTGTCCGCGGCAACTAAATATTTGGGACGGACAAGTGCGCTGTCTTAAGTCGCCCGATCGGGAAAATGTTTTACTTTAACCCAGGGATGTTAAAGTCAATTACATCAGAGGCAAAAAAAAATTATTTGCTTCAAGCCGAGGCCCGGACTGGTTCAATGTTTATTAAAAACATTAAATTATGCATAAAACTGAACCAAGACCGAAGACACTGGACCATACTTTTTTTTTATAAATATCCAATATTTTTGTTTTATTTCAGACAAAAACAAACTTTGTTCAAAGAGAAAACACATGTCCTGAATATTAAATGAATGATCCAATATAATCTAATACTAATTAATAATCATCCTTGGGGTCGAGATAATTCATTTTCAATTCCCCTCGGACCAATTCTCTGAACCAATGAAAAGCATGATATTTTCCAGGGTGGAGAATATTCTGTGGATCCGCGATTTACAGCTGTACGTACTCAAACGGTTTTCACATCCTCCGTTCTGACCCCGGGGCAGCTGCGGCCACGTCTGTGAATTAGCCGTTAGCGAAATGGCTAATGAACACGGCATCTGTCATTTGCAACGAAGCTTCTTGTTCTGTCCTTATCAAATAAACAGTAATGTAGTGAGAATGTAGTTCTAGGTGTGGTGTTGATGAAGGTACGCAGCAGAATAGGGTTCGTATAATATCGTCCTGGATCGACGACTTCCTTAAGACGAAGCAGAAGCCGGTGATGTATACGACGGCTTCACGCCATTTATAACCTCACATCGCTCAGGTTTTATAGGCTAATGATCTTCTCCCAGCTCGGGTAAATAACGCGGGGGCGGCGGCGGCGGCGGCGGCTCCATGTGCGGCCCCGGGTCTGATTTATTTCACCAGGATCTGAACAAAGTGTGTGCTCTCTGCTTTGGGACTGGCCCTTTATTTAGCATCTGCTCCGAGCGCTAACCTTACAGTCTGCAAACGCACCTGTCTTACCGTACGCCTTTAGGATTGGGGCTGGGGAGCGGCACAAAGGTGATGAATCCATGGTATTCACTGTTACCGTCTGTAAATACTTAAAACAATACTTTTTGCCACAAAGAAATCACCAATAAATGCAGAAATTAAATGGTCGATATTGTTTAATACCAGGCCCTACATCTGTGACATGTTAGTGCTATAAGGACTCAGGAGCACAAGGACTGGCCTCCTACTGGGACTCGGAGGAGCACAGGGACTGGCCTCCTGCTGGGACTCGGAGGAGCACAGGGACTGGCCTCCTGCTGGGACTCGGAGGAGCACAGGGACTGGCCTCCTGCTGGGACTCGGAGGAGCACAGGGACTGGCCTCCTGCTGGGACTCGGAGGAGCACAGGGACTGGCCTCCTGCTGGGACTCGGAGGAGCACAGGGACTGGCCTCCTGCTGGGACTCGGAGGAGCACAGGGACTGGCCTCCTGCTGGGACTCGGAGGAGCACAGGGACTGGCCTCCTGCTGGGACTCGGAGGAGCACAGGGACTGGCCTCCTGCTGGGACTCGGAGGAGCACAGGGACAGGCCTCCTGCTGGGACTCGGAGGAGCACAGGGACTGGCCTCCTGCTGGTCCCAGAGTCAGGACTAAAAATGGGGAGGCAGGGTTTCAGATTCATGCAGCTAAAATCTAGAACAGTCTTCCTGAAAATGAGAGACGGGCTTCTTCTCTGACAATGTTCAAACTAGGGCTGGGCGATAAAACGATAACGATATTTATCGCGATAGACATGTGTTGGATATCAATAGAGAATGGGGTCGATAGAATGTTCGATAGTTTAACTTAACTCCGTCAGGAAAAACAGGAAGAAAACACCGGAAGTAAAGCCGACTCATAAGCGCATGGCATTGTGGGGGATGTAGGCAGAGGCTTCTCGACCAATAACAGCCGAGCAAGAACCGCAAAACTTTGTGGGAAATGCAAAAACACCAACAACCGCAGCATGCGTGGCGTCCATGGATCTATAGCTGGTGTTTCAATGCCGTCTCAATGGTTGTGCACGTACGTGCGCGGAATAACATGTGCGGCGGCAGAGGCAGTGGACAGACACCATGTATTTTTCCTCGGGAAGCATGTGCGGCACAGAGAGCCGCACGGAGCGGTCACGGGGACACAAGACCCTCAAACAGCTAAACCAGGAGCTAAACCAGGAATAAAAAACCAGGATTAAACCAGGACTAACAACGAGGGACACAGTGTGAACATATTCCTCCAGCCTCATCGCCCCGTGACTGTAAACAAGGCTGCTAAGGTTGGTTAGCCCACACAACAAATATATTTATTTAGGTAAAAAAAAAAAAAAACTCAATATATATCGTTATCGACCGATATGAATGACTTATATCGTGATATAGTTTTCAGCCATATCGCCCAGCCCTAGTTCAAACCCAGGTTAAAAACGGACACATGTTTAGTCCCTTTGGTCCTGGTTGTAACGAGGCCGAGCTGCTACAGTGAGTTGTGAGTCAGTTTCTTTAGTGTTTTAAGAATAATTACAGCAATGAAACGGTCGTCAACGTTTAATCCCAGCCCTAGATTTAATCCCACATATTTAGCATCAGATTCAGATCAATTTGCAAAAGTCCCCAGTGTGCACCAGACAAGTACATAAACAAAACCAGGTTAAAAGTACAGAAAGAAACCAAAAACAAAAGCGTAAACAATGATCACAGTGAGACCGAGCGGCCTCTTTCTCCAGCGTCTGTGTGTTTCAGAGATCTCATTACCCACCGCCGCCTCTCCATCTCTATGGCCACACCTGGGCTTTTCTACCTCCTCCTCTCTTCCATTGAACCCGGGGCTGAAGCACACGCAGCTGCCTCCCCCACCCTCCCCCACTCTCCCCCGTCTCCCCCGGCGGACACCATCCCGGCGCGTGGCTAACGGCTCAGGCCACCTCGCTTGCTCCTTTGTCCTCCCCCGTCCTGACAAACCCACTCCGTCCCTTTTCTCCGCCGCGGCCTCTTGAGCGCAGAGTGGGCCTTCTCTCTTTTGTGCTCCGGCGGCAGGTGCCCGGCACAAACGCAAGAAGGCACGAGGGAGGACGTCGTTAGCAAGCGCTCGCGTTTGATGTAGCCGCCGAGACGCATCCCGGGTAATTACTCACCAGCCTCCGAAAAAAACGAGAAAACAACAGTCTTGTTTGTAGATAAACTCCAATTTGAATGATAAAAGCTGTTTGACAGACAGCAGCCGTTCCGAATGACGAAAGGAGAATTACCTTTTTTGTCGACGCCACCTTGAATTTTTTTATTTTGCGGGGTGATGCCAATTGCTACCGTCAATCACGAGCATAAACAAAGCTGAATAGACAAATTAGACGGCGGGTGTGTACGCAAAAGCCTCAGAAACTGCTTGTGTTGGTAAAGACTGGGGATTTGAAAAGTGCAGGAGAGTCCCCGAGGCGTCGGAGAGCACCCAGGGGAGAGCACCCAGGGGAGAGCGCCCGCCTCCACCACGGAGCCAGGAGAGACTAAATCATGGACACGATTAGGGCTGAACTTTAAGAAGAGAACGGCCGTGTTTCAAACCCGATCGATCTGTTTTTGGGGAGAGCAGCGCAACACAACAATGACTAAAAATAAATGCAGAGGCAGCGGATAAATGGGACAAAGAGCCAGAAGTAATGAACAGTAACGTCTGAATCGTATGGACCACAGTAAAGTGCAATGTTTACTAAATTATTACTCTATTCACTCTATTTATTTCACTCTGACACAATTTCACGTTATTTTCCCATCCTTGCCCTGAAGTCAAAGTCTGGGTTACTGAAGCTTGCAACAAAGAAGAGAAAAGGGAAACCGAAATATTTAGTTTTTTCCAATTTTGCCAAAGTATCACAATAGTCTCAGGTCTGGGTCAGGTCAGGTCTCTGCGCTGAGGAGCACAGGGACTGGCCTCCTGCTGGGACTCGGAGGAGCACAGGGACTGGCCTCCTGCTGGGACTCGGAGGAGCACAGGGACTGGCCTCCTGCTGGGACTCGGAGGAGCACAGGGACTGGCCTCCTGCTGGGACTCGGAGGAGCACAGGGACTGGCCTCCTGCTGGGACTCGGAGGAGCACAGGGACTGGCCTCCTGCTGGGACTCGGAGGAGCACAGGGACTGGCCTCCTGCTGGGACTCGGAGGAGCACAGGGACTGGCCGCCTGCTGGGACTCGGAGGAGCACAGGGACTGGCCTCCTGCTGGGACTCGGAGGAGCACAGGGACTGGCCTCCTGCTGGGACTCGGAGGAGCACAGGGACTGGCCTCCTGCTGGGACTCGGAGGAGCACAGGGACTGGCCTCCTGCTGGGACTCGGAGGAGCACAGGGACTGGCCTCCTGCTGGGACTCGGAGGAGCACAGGGACTGGCCTCCTGCTGGGACTCGGAGGAGCACAGGGACTGGCCTCCTGCTGGGACTCGGAGGAGCACAGGGACTGGCCTCCTGCTGGGACTCGGAGGAGCACAGGGACTGGCCTCCTGCTGGGACTCGGAGGAGCACAGGGACTGGCCTCCTGCTGGGACTCAGAGGAGCATAGGGACTGGCCTCCTGCTGTGGAGGCAGTATTTCAGGTTCAAACCCGTCTCAGCTGAAACCGTGAGACAGGCTTCTTCTCTGACGATGTTTTAAATCCAGGCAAAAGGGTAGCTGAGTGGATAGCACTCTCGCCTCTCAGCAAGAAGGTCCTGGGTTCAAATCCCGGTTGGACCAGGGCCTTTCTGAGTGGAGTTTGCATGTTCTCCCCGTGTCTGCGTAGGTTTCCTCCGGGTGCTCCGGTTTCCCCTACCACTAAAAATATGTACAATAGGTATGGCATGTGCCTCCTGTACTGGAACCCCCACTCCCAAAAAAATAACAATTGTAAACCGCTTTGAGACTCCGATGTGCAGTGAAAAGGCGGTATATAAATAAAAGCTTACTTACTTACTACTAGAGTGAAAACTGATCAAGTTGTTATCGTTGTGCTTTACATAATAAATAGTCACTCATTACAAGTAGTTTGGCATGGCATTTTCCCATTTACAAGGCAAGGTTATTTGTGTAGCACAATTCACACACAATGCAACTCCAAGTTCTTCACAAAACCAAATAGAATCAGTCACAGTAGGCTTTAAAATCATAATCCCAGTGCATTAAAAAGAGAAAACCATCGTTCAGTTGGTCCCACTGTGGGGAAATTTCAATGTTGCAGCCCACAGACAGGACAGCAATAAGAGACACACAACATTTACAAAATAAGTGCTGCTATGTTTCTTATCTAGCTGTAAATTATCAATACCAGTCTATCAAAAATAAATATATATGGTATAGTGCGGAGTTATATACTGCGTCTTATTATGTAAAGTGACATCAGCTGCCTCCCCGTGTTTAGTCCCGTTTGGTCCAGATAGATGTGTTTTCAGTACCAACTATATAAAAATCTGTCTTGTTTGTAGATATTTCTGTTGTGACATGCAAAAGAATTAAGTTCCACATGTTTAAAATCCCCACAGTTTGCATTCTCTCCTCTCTCCAGCTGTGTCCAGTCTGTGTGAGATCCAGAAGACCAAGAGCAGCAAGAAAAACCAGGATTCGCCAACTCTGCTCTTTGCCTTCATGACACAACAAACAAGACATCAGCAGCAGCAGCAGCAGCAGCAGAGGCTCACATGACTGCTGAATAATGGATGCCCACCGACGGGTTCAGATCGCGGAGCCGGATTTTCTCCAGCTGGAGGGAGCAGCGGCGGGATCAGGAGAAAACGCCGCCTTCGGAGACCTACTTACCTGAGAGACGGGATCGGGGAGATGGGAAATGGAGAATCACGGCGCTCGATATGCAAAGTGCTGAATATTTGAGGAGGCCGTTTGTGGAAGGAGCAGGATGGAGACATGAAAACACCGGGAAGGATTAGGTTTGAGCAGAACGAGGCCCGACTGTGGGAGCAAAGGGCTGCGTACGGCCCCGGTTTCAGCAGGCTTTAGTCTTGTGATTTAAATTTGAACAATATTAATAATAAAGAGAAATATGTGTGAAGACTGATAGTTAAACATTAATAGTTGAATATGTATGTCAGATTCAATTATATGGTTGTTTTCCTGCGATCATGTGCTTTAAAATGAAGTATAACATGCCGTAGTTGCCCATCACCATCAATGCTGCAAGTCAGGGCTATAGTTCAATAGTTTAACTTCACTTAAAAAAAAGTAAATCGTGCGGCATTCTGGGGGATGTAGGCAGAGCTTCTCGACCTATCACGGACGAGCATGAACCGCAAAGCACTCTGGGAAATGCACAAAAAACAGCCGCACCATGTGTAGCGTCCACTGATTTGTAGATGGTGTTTGAGGCTGTGTCCATGGTTCTGTCGATGGTGTTTGAGGCTGTGTCCATGGTTCTGTCGATGGTGTTTGAGGCTGTGTCCATGGTTCTGTCGATGGTGTTTGAGGCTGTGTCCATGGTTCTGTCGATGGTGTTTGAGGCTGTGTCCATGGTTCTGTAGATGGTGTTTGAGGCTGTGTCCATGGTTCTGTAGATGGTGTTTGAGGCTGTGTCCATGGTTCTGTAGATGGTGTTTGAGGCTGTGTCCATGGTTCTGTAGATGGTGTTTGAGGCTGTGTCCATGGTTGTCGATGGTGTTTGAGGCTGTGTCCATGGTTCTGTAGATGGTGTTTGAGGCTGTGTCCATGGTTCTGTCGATGGTGTTTGAGGCTGTGTCCATGGTTGTCGATGGTGTTTGAGGCTGTGTCCATGGTTCTGTAGATGGTGTTTGAGGCTGTGTCCATGGTTCTGTCGATGGTGTTTGAGGCTGTGTCCATGGTTCTGTCGATGGTGTTTGAGGCTGTGTCCATGGTTCTGTCGATGGTGTTTGAGGCTGTGTCCATGGTTCTGTCGATGGTGTTTGAGGCTGTGTCCATGGTTCTGTAGATGGTGTTTGAGGCTGTGTCCATGGTTCTGTCGATGGTGTTTGAGGCTGTGTCCATGGTTCTGTCGATGGTGTTTGAGGCTGTGTCCATGGTTCTGTCGATGGTGTTTGAGGCTGTGTCCATGGTTCTGTCGATGGTGTTTGAGGCTGTGTCCATGGTTCTGTCGATGGTGTTTGAGGCTGTGTCCATGGTTCTGTCGATGGTGTTTGAGGCTGTGTCCATGGTTCTGTCGATGGTGTTTGAGGCTGTGTCCATGGTTCTGTCGATGGTGTTTGAGGCTGTGTCCATGGTTCTGTCGATGGTGTTTGAGGCTGTGTCCATGGTTCTGTCGATGGTGTTTGAGGCTGTGTCCATGGTTGTCGATGGTGTTTGAGGCTGTGTCCATGGTTCTGTCGATGGTGTTTGAGGCTGTGTCCATGGTTCTGTCGATGGTGTTTGAGGCTGTGTCCATGGTTCTGTCGATGGTGTTTGAGGCTGTGTCCATGGTTCTGTCGATGGTGTTTGAGGCTGTGTCCATGGTTCTGTCGATGGTGTTTGAGGCTGTGTCCATGGTTCTGTCGATGGTGTTTGAGGCTGTGTCCATGGTTCTGTCGATGGTGTTTGAGGCTGTGTCCATGGTTCTGTAGATGGTGTTTGAGGCTGTGTCCATGGTTCTGTCGATGGTGTTTGAGGCTGTGTCCATGGTTCTGTCGATGGTGTTTGAGGCTGTGTCCATGGTTCTGTCGGTGTTTGAGGCTGTGTCCATGGTTCTGTAGATGGTGTTTGAGGCTGTGTCCATGGTTCTGTCGATGGTGTTTGAGGCTGTGTTCATGGTTCTGTCGATGGTGTTTGAGGCTGTGTCCATGGTTCTGTCGATGGTGTTTGAGGCTGTGTCCATGGTTCTGTAGATGGTGTTTGAGGCTGTGTCCATGGTTCTGTAGATGGTGTTTGAGGCTGTGTCCATGGTTCTGTCGATGGTGTTTGAGGCTGTGTCCATGGTTCTGTCGATGGTGTTTGAGGCTGTGTCCATGGTTCTGTCGATGGTGTTTGAGGCTGTGTCCATGGTTCTGTCGATGGTGTTTGAGGCTGTGTCCATGGTTCTGTCGATGGTGTTTGAGGCTGTGTCCATGGTTCTGTCGATGGTGTTTGAGGCTGTGTCCATGGTTCTGTCGATGGTGTTTGAGGCTGTGTTCATGTTTCTGTAGATGGTGTTTGAGGCTGTGTCCAAGGTTCTGTCGATGGTGTTTGAGGCTGTGTCCATGGTTCTGTCAATGGTGTTTGAGGCTGTGTCCATGGTTCTGTAGATGGTGTTTGAGGCTGTGTCCATGGTTCTGTCGATGGTGTTTGATGCTGTGTCCATGGTTCTGTCGATGGTGTTTGAGGCTGTGTCCATGGTTCTGTCGATGGTGTTTGAGGCTGTGTCCATGGTTCTGTAGATGGTGTTTGAGGCTGTGTCCATGGTTCTGTAGATGGTGTTTGAGGCTGTGTCCATGGTTCTGTCGATGGTGTTTGAAGCTGTGTCCATGGTTCTGTAGATGGTGTTTGAGGCTGTGTCCATGGTTCTGTAGATGGTGTTTGAGGCTGTGTCCATGGTTCTGTCGATGGTGTTTGAGGCTGTGTCCATGGTTCTGTAGATGGTGTTTGAGGCTGTGTCCATGGTTCTGTCGATGGTGTTTGAGGCTGTGTCCATGGTTGTCGATGGTGTTTGAGGCTGTGTCCATGGTTGTCGATGGTGTTTGAGGCTGTGTCCATGGTTCTGTCGATGGTGTTTGAGGCTGTGTCCATGGTTCTGTAGATGGTGTTTGAGGCTGTGTCCATGGTTCTGTAGATGGTGTTTGAGGCTGTGTCCATGGTTCTGTCGATGGTGTTTGAGGCTGTGTCCATGGTTCTGTCGATGGTGTTTGAGGCTGTGTCCATGGTTCTGTCGATGGTGTTTGAGGCTGTGTCCATGGTTCTGTCGATGGTGTTTGAGGCTGTGTCCATGGTTCTGTAGATGGTGTTTGAGGCAAAAGCAACAAATTCACTTTTTCCTCGGGAAGCTTGTGCGGCTATCGGAGAGCTGTCAGAGAGCTGTCAGAGAGCTGTCAGAGAGCTGTCAGAGAGCTGTCAGAGAGCTGTCAGAGAGCTGTCAGAGAGCTGTCAGAGAGCTGTCAGAGAGCTATCAGAGAGCTATCAGAGAGCTGTCAGAGAGCTGTCAGAGAGCTGTCAGAGAGCTGTCAGAGAGCTATCAGAGAGCTGTCAGAGAGCTGTCAGAGAGCTATCAGAGAGCTGTCAAAGAGCTGTCAGAGAGCTGTCAGAGAGCTATCAGAGAGCTGTCAAAGAGCTGTCAGAGAGCTATCAGAGAGCTATCAGAGCTGTCAAAGAGCTGTCAGAGAGCTATCAGAGAGCTGTCAAAGAGCTGTCAGAGAGCTATCAGAGAGCTGTCAAAGAGCTGTCAGAGAGCTGTCAGAGAGCTATCAGAGAGCTGTCAGAGAGCTGTCAGAGAGCTGTCAGAGAGCTGTCAGAGAGCTGTCAGAGAGCCGCAGGGAGCCGTCACAGGGACACAAGACAATCGAAAACAGCCAAAACAGGAGCTAAACCAGGACTAAACCAGGACTAAACTGGGAGATAAACTAGGACTAAGCTAGGACTAAACCAGGACTAAACCAGGACTGATAATGGGGGACAGTGAACATATGGCTCCAGCCTGAGTTCTCATTCCGCCGTGACTGTAAACAAGTGATGCTAACGTATGAGGTGTCGCTAACAAATGTATTTAGGTTAAAAAACAAACCAGAAAACAAATGAATCACTGATATATCGACATGAACCACTGATATATCGACATGAACCACTGATATATCGACATGAATCACTGATATATCGACATGAATCACTGATATATCGACATGAACCACTGATATATCGACATGAACCACTGATATATCGACATGAACCACTGATATATCGACATGAACCACTGATATATCGACATGAATCACTGATATATCGACATGAACCACTGATATATCGACATGAACCACTGATATATCGAAATGAACCACTGATATATCGACATGAATCACTGATATATCGACATGAATCACTGATATATCGACATGAACCACTGATATATCGACATGAACCACTGATATATCGACATGAACCACTGATATATCGACATGAACCACTGATATATCGACATGAACCACTGATATATCGACATGAACCACTGATATATCGACATGAATCACTGATATATCGACATGAATCACTGATATATCGACATGAATCACTGATATATCGACATGAATCACTGATATATCGACATGAACCACTGATATATCGACATGAACCACTGATATATCGACATGAACCACTGATATATCGACATGAATCACTGATATATCGACATGAATCACTGATATATCGACATGAATCACTGATATATCGACATGAACCACTGATATATCGACATGAACCACTGATATATCGACATGAATCACTGATATATCGACATGAATCACTGATATATCGACATGAATCACTGATATATCGACATGAACCACTGATATATAGACATGAACCACTGATATATCGACATGAACCACTGATATATCGACATGAACCACTGATATATCGACATGAACCACTGATATATCGACATGAACCACTGATATATCGACATGAATCACTGATATATAGACATGAATCACTGACATATCGACATGAACCACTGACATATCGACATGAACCACTGACATATCGACATGAACCACTGACATATCGACATGAACCACTGACATATCGACATGAACCACTGATATATCGACATGAACCACTGACATATCGACATGAACCACTGACATATCGACATGAACCACTGATATATCGACATGAATCACTGATATATCGACATGAATCACTGATATGGTGATATAGTTTTCAGCCATGTTGCTCAGACCTGCTGTGACTGATCATGAGTGAATAATAACATCTCCCATAGTTTCACCTGCCTGGTTTAGTTCAACTTTACTCAGGTTAGCTCAACAAACATGTTAGCTCAACAAACATGTTAGCTCAAACATGTTAGCTCAAACATGTTAGCTCAATCATGTTAGCCCAAACATGTTAGCCCAAACATGTTAGCCCAAACATGTTAGCCCAAACATGTTAGCCCAAACATGTTAGCCCAAACATGTTAGCTCAAACATGTTAGCTCAAACAGGTTAGCTCAAACATGTTAGCTCAAACATGTTAGCTCAAACATGTTAGCTCAAACATGTTAGCCCAAACATGTTAGCCCAAACATGTTAGCTCAAACATGTTAGCTCAAACATTCACCGTTCTGTTAACAACTGCAGCATCCTTCTCTTACACAACCCCTCCTTACACACGCACACACGCACACAAACACACAAACACACAAACACGCCGCGGTTAGCGTTAGCGCCCTGCAGCTAACGTCCTGTGCGCTCACACGACCCCAGACGCCAGCGCAGAGGCGGCAGCGCTCCGGGACCAATGAGGCTTTGTTTGTTTGGCCCGATGTCGTGAGTGACCACCGCATTAGCTTCATCACCTCTGGCACCGCGAGATCCAAACTGACATCTGAACCACGGGGGCCGCGGCTGCCGGGCCCCGGGGAAACCTCACCAACACGGCCACGGAAGAATTTGGAAAGGAGAAATTAAGTTTATATTCAAGTTTATTAGGAGACTCACGGGAGGAGGTTTGAGGAGCAGGACTCTGTGGAAGTCTTTAGTCTTAGTGTCAAGTTATTTACTGAAGATAAGCATTTTATATTTACTCCTTGTTACGCTAAAGTCAGAGGTTTTTGAATTAGATCTTTTTATGCCAGAGTTAGAGTTTTTTTTGTTATTTCATGTTAATTTGAGATAACATGCGATTTATGCTCTGGAGCAATTTATAAACCAAAAAATACGGTAATACTGAAAAATGTAGCTCATGAACGACTGTAAGAAGAGAGTCAGAACTATTGTACTTTTCACGTCTAAACATAACCCTTTTCTTCCGCTTCATCCGTTGCCGGGTCGCGAAGGCAGCGGTCTAAGCAGATACGCTGAGACTTCCCTATCCAAATGTTTTTGAGACACAGAAAAAGGAAACAAAATTAGGTTGCATCTTTGGGAGGTGAGGGGAGGTGGAGGGAGATGGAGGTGGAGGGAGATGGAGGGAGGTGGAGGGAGATGGAGGGAGATGGAGGGAGATGGAGGGAGGTGGAGGTGGAGGGAGGTGGAGGGAGGTGGAGGGAGGTGGAGGGAGATGGAGGGAGATGGAGGGAGATGGAGGGAGATGGAGGGAGATGGAGGGAGATGGAGGGAGATGGAGGGAGGTGGAGGTGGAGGGAGATGGAGGGAGATGGAGGGAGATGGAGGGAGGTGGAGATGGAGGGAGATGGAGGGAGATGGAGGGAGGTGGAGGGAGGTGGAGGGAGATGGAGGGAGGTGGAGGGAGATGGAGGGAGATGGAGGGAGGTGGAGGGAGGTGGAGGGAGGTGGAGGGAAGTGGAGGGAGGTGGAGGGAGGTGGAGGTGGAGGGAGGTTTGCAGACGACACTTTCATAAAGATATAATCTGAAAGTTAACGTCTGACGATGCAGTGAAAGAAACCAAAGTGTAGTTAAACAGGAGCAACATTTACGTCCTTTTGGCAGCAGCAGTATACAGCAGCAGCAGTATACAGCAGCAGCAGTATACAGCAGCAGCAGTATACAGCAGCAGTATACAGCAGCAGCAGTATACAGCAGCAGCAGTATACAGCAGCAGCAGTATACAGCAGCAGCAGTATACAGCAGCAGTATACAGCAGCAGCAGTATACAGCAGCAGCAGTATACAGCAGCAGCAGTATACAGCAGCAGCAGTATACAGCAGCAGCATACAGCAGCAGCAGTATACAGCAGCAGTATACAGCAGCAGTATACAGCAGCAGCATACAGCAGCAGCAGTATACAGCAGCAGCAGTATACAGCAGCAGCATACAGCAGCAGCAGTATACAGCAGCAGCATACAGCAGCAGCATACAGCAGCAGCAGTATACAGCAGCAGCATACAGCAGCAGCATACAGCAGCAGCATACAGCAGCAGCAGCATACAGCAGCAGCAGTATACAGCAGCAGTATACAGCAGCAGTATACAGCAGCAGTATACAGCAGCAGTATGCAGCAGCAGTATACAGCAGCAGTATACAGCAGCAGTATACAGCAGCAGTATACAGCAGCAGCATACAGCAGCAGCAGTATGCAGCAGCAGTAGACAGCAGCAGCAGTATACAGCAGCAGCAGTATGCAGCAGCAGTATACAGCAGCAGCAGTATACAGCAGCAGTATGCAGCAGCAGTATACAGCAGCAGCAGCATACAGCAGCAGTATACAGCAGCAGTATACAGCAGCAGTATACAGCAGCAGCAGTATACAGCAGCAGTATACAGCAGCAGCAGTATACAGCAGCAGTATACAGCAGCAGCAGTATGCAGCAGCAGTATGCAGCAGCAGTATACAGCAGCAGTATACAGCAGCAGCAGTATACAGCAGCAGCAGTATACAGCAGCAGCAGTATACAGCAGCAGCAGTATACAGCAGCAGCAGTATGCAGCAGCAGTATACAGCAGCAGCATACAGCAGCAGTATACAGCAGCAGTATACAGCAGCAGTATACAGCAGCAGCAGTATACAGCAGCAGCAGTATGCAGCAGCAGAATACAGCAGCAGTATACAGCAGCAGTATGCAGCAGCAGTATGCAGCAGCAGTATGCAGCAGCAGTATGCAGCAGCAGTATACAGCAGCAGTATACAGCAGCAGCAGTATACAGCAGCAGCAGTATACAGCAGCAGCAGTATACAGCAGCAGTATACAGCAGCAGTATACAGCAGCAGCAGTATACAGCAGCAGCAGTATGCAGCAGCAGTATACAGCAGCAGCAGTATACAGCAGCAGCAGTATACAGCAGCAGCAGTATGCAGCAGCAGTATACAGCAGCAGCAGTATGCAGCAGCAGTATACAGCAGCAGCATACAGCAGCAGCAGTATACAGCAGCAGTATACAGCAGCAGTATACAGCAGCAGTATACAGCAGCAGTATACAGCAGCAGCAGTATGCAGCAGCAGTATACAGCAGCAGTATACAGCAGCAGTATACAGCAGCAGTATGCAGCAGCAGTATACAGCAGCAGCAGTATGCAGCAGCAGTATACAGCAGCAGCAGTATGCAGCAGCAGTATACAGCAGCAGCAGTATGCAGCAGCAGTATACAGCAGCAGCAGTATGCAGCAGCAGTATACAGCAGCAGCAGTATACAGCAGCAGCAGTAGCAGCAGCATTAAAGGGGATCCAGACACAGACGACCTTTGCTCCTGTGGGAATGGCACGGTTCAGACCTAATGTGGGCTGAAGTTTGTCTAAGAGGAAACGACAAGAGCAAGATTCAGTCCAACGCATTAGTAACTGGAGACGGGCCCTTTAAATCCCGGGTGTTTGACTTGGCAGAACGAGACCTGCAGAATATTCAACAATGGAAACGACTGGGACACGGGACAAGCATTTAAATACCACGGGTGACTCCGGTCGTCCATATGCAGTACTGTTTAACTGCTGCCAGGCTGTGATATACACTGTTCTACTGCATTCTCATGACCATTGGGTACAGTACAGTGTGAGTTATGTTCATGTCCAAGTTATCTGTCTGTGTCAGTAAAAAATAAAAATAAATACTAATTGTGAAAGTCCACGATTGCCACCACCAGATGAAGTCTGAGGCCGTGGACCCAGGACAGACAGGTAGACCCAGGGCCGAGGCCGTGGACCCAGGACAGACAGGTAGACCCAGGGCCGAGGCCGTGGACCCAGGACTGAGGCCGTGGACCCAGGACAGACCGGCAGCCCCAGGGCCGTGGACCCAGGACAGACAGGTAGACCCAGGGCCGAGGCCGTGGACCCAGGACAGACAGGTAGACCCAGGGCCGAGGCCGTGGACCCAGGACAGACAGGTAGACCCAGGGCCGAGGCCGCGGACCCAGGACCGAGGCCGCGGACCCAGGGCCGAGGCCGCGGACCCAGGGCCGAGGCCGCGGACCCAGGGCCGAGGCCGCGGACCCGAGGCCGCGGACCCAGGACCGAGGCCGCGGACCCAGGACCGAGGCCGCGGACCCAGGACCGAGGCCGCGGACCCGGACCCAGGACCGAGGCCGCGGACCCAGGACCGAGGCCGCGGACCCAGGACCGAGGCCGCGGACCCAGGACCGAGGCCGCGGACCCAGGACCGAGGCCGCGGACCCAGGACCGAGGCCGCGGACCCAGGACCGAGGCCGCGGACCCAGGACCGAGGCCGCGGACCCAGGGCCGAGGCCGCGGACCCAGGACCGAGGCCGCGGACCCAGGACCGAGGCCGCGGACCCAGGACCGAGGCCGCGGACCCAGGGCCGAGGCCGCGGACCCAGGGCCGAGGCCGCGGACCCAGGACCGAGGCCGCGGACCCAGGGCCGAGGCCGCGGACCCAGGGCCGAGGCCGCGGACCCAGGACCGAGGCCGCGGACCCAGGACCGAGGCCGCGGACCCAGGACCGAGGCCGCGGACCCAGGGCCGAGGCCGCGGACCCAGGGCCGAGGCCGCGGACCCAGGACCGAGGCCGCGGACCCAGGGCCGAGGCCGCAGACCCAGGGCCGAGGCCGCAGACCCAGGGCCGAGGCCGCAGACCCAGGGCCGAGGCCGTAGACCCAGGACCGAGGCCGCAGACCCAGGATCGAGGCCGCGGACCCAGGACCGAGGCCGCGGACCCAGGACCGAGGCCGCGGACCCAGGACCGAGGCCGCGAACCCAGGACCGAGGCCGCGGACCCAGGACCGAGGCCGCGGACCCAGGGCCGAGGCCGCGGACCCAGGGCCGAGGCCGCGGACCCAGGACCGAGGCCGCGGACCCAGGGCCGAGGCCGCGGACCCAGGGCCGAGGCCGCGGACCCAGGACCGAGGCCGCGGACCCAGGGCCGAGGCCGCAGACCCAGGGCCGAGGCCGCAGACCCAGGGCCGAGGCCGCAGACCCAGGGCCGAGGCCGCAGACCCAGGGCCGAGGCCGTAGACCCAGGACCGAGGCCGCAGACCCAGGATCGAGCCGTAGACCCAGGACCGAGGCCGGAGACCCAGGACCGAGGCCGCGGACCCAGGACCGAGGCCGCGGACCCAGGACCGAGGCCGCGGACCCAGGACCGAGGCCGCGGACCCAGGGCCGAGGCCGCGGACCCAGGACCGAGGCCGCGGACCCAGGACCGAGGCCGCGGACCCAGGACCGAGGCCGCGGACCCAGGGCCGAGGCCGCGGACCCAGGACCGAGGCCGCGGACCCAGGGCCGAGGCCGCAGACCCAGGGCCGAGGCCGCGGACCCAGGGCCGAGGCCGCGGACCCAGGACCGAGGCCGCAGACCCAGGGCCGAGGCCGCAGACCCAGGGCCGAGGCCGCAGACCCAGGGCCGAGGCCGCAGACCCAGGGCCGAGGCCGTAGACCCAGGACCGAGGCCGCAGACCCAGGATCGAGCTGTAGACGCAGGACCGAGGCCGTAGACCCAGGACCGAGGCCGGAGACCCAGGCCGTAGACCCAGGACTGAGGCCGCGGACCCAGGGCCGAGGCCGCGGACCCAGGACCGAGGCCGCGGACCCAGGACCGAGGCCGCGGACCCAGGACCGAGGCCGCGGCCCCAGGACCGAGGCCGCGGACCCAGGACCGAGGCCGCGGACCCAGGGCCGAGGCCGCAGACCCAGGGCCGAGGCCGCAGACCCAGGGCCGAGGCCGCGGACCCAGGACCGAGGCCGCAGACCCAGGGCCGAGGCCGCAGACCCAGGGCCGAGGCCGCAGACCCAGGGCCGAGGCCGTAGACCCAGGGCCGAGGCCGTAGACCCAGGACCGAGGCCGCAGACCCAGGATCGAGCTGTAGACGCAGGACCGAGGCCGTAGACCCAGGACCGAGGCCGGAGACCCAGGCCGTAGACCCAGGACTGAGGCCGCAGACCCAGGACCGAGGCCGCAGACCCAGGACTGAGGCCGCAGACCCAGGACTGAGGCCGCAAACCCAGGACTGAGGCCGCAGACCCAGGACTGAGGCCGTAGACCCAGGACTGAGGCCGCAGACCCAGGACTGAGGCCGCAGACCCAGGACTGAGGCTGTAGACCCAGGACTGAGGCCGCAGACCCAGGACTCTAGCTACAGATGAGTATTCAGAACATCTAAAATCTCAATACTGATCTTAGAACTCACTACAAATGAAGCCATCAGCAGATGTTCCCTCAGCGCAGAAAACCCAGACAGAAAAGCTAAAGCAGTTTGTAATAACCAAAACAAAACAAAGCACTGCATTGCCCCAAACACTCACGATTCCATCAATATCAAAAATACCTTCACTCCGAGACACACTGAGCCGTCTATACTGCGCGCTCCACCGCTTGCTAGCGCGCATACAGAATGGCGAGCAGCGGCGGCGCGCCCCTGGGAGCCGCACAAATCAGTCTTGGCTCTGGTTTCGGGTTCGCTCTCAGCTGTGGCCCTAGAGGCTTCGGCAGAAAAACACACTATTGGAAAAACAGAGGCAGAACAGAGCGGTGCAGGCGTCAGGGGGGAGCCGCCTGTTAGCATGCGCGGTAAATACAGTCTCGGCGCGCTCACGTACACGCAGGGTTCGGAGCGCGGGTTCTGACGGCTGTGATTCCAGGCTCGCCCCAAACTACACTGTACAAAGCGTCAGTCTAGATTCAAGCACCTTTAATATTCCATTTCTGGGCTGGGGAAGGTGTCAATCAGAGCTGCACCAAATCACAAAACACCGGCCCTGCGCTGCGGGCTGAAGTGTCTTGCCCAGGGACACAACACTATAAACTATACATTATGCAAAAACGTATTCAACAACTGGAGAAATATCTATATGAAAAATATATCCAAATAAAAATGATTCCATAACTGCAGACAAAAAGGGCATTTTAAACGTCTGCAGCTGTTATTAGTGCGGTGTGAACGGCTGTGTTTAAGTAGAGCGCCCTCCACTGGACAAACACGGAACAAAACAAGAGTTTGAACTTTCAGCAGCAGCAGCAGTTTCAGACATTCTAACCCTAACCCAGCAGGAGGCCAGTCCCTGTGCTCCTCAGAGTCCCAGCAGGAGGCCAGTCCCTGTGCTCCTCAGAGTCCCAGCAGGAGTCCAGTCCCTGTGCTCCTCAGAGTCCCAGCAGGAGTCCAGTCCCTGTGCTCCTCAGAGTCCCAGCAGGAGGCCAGTCCCTGTGCTCCTCAGAGTCCCAGCAGGAGGCCAGTCCCTGTGCTCCTCAGAGTCCCAGCAGGAGGCCAGTCCCTGTGCTCCTCAGAGTCCCAGCAGGAGGCCAGTCCCTGTGCTCCTCAGAGTCCCAGCAGGAGTCCAGTCCCTGTGCTCCTCAGAGTCCCAGCAGGAGGCCAGTCCCTGTGCTCCTCAGAGTCCCAGCAGGAGTCCAGTCCCTGTGCTCCTCAGAGTCCCAGCAGGAGTCCAGTCCCTGTGCTCCTCAGAGTCCCAGCAGGAGTCCAGTCCCTGTGCTCCTCAGAGTCCCAGCAGGAGGCCAGTCCCTGTGCTCCTCAGAGTCCCAGCAGGAGTCCAGTCCCTGTGCTCCTCAGAGTCCCAGCAGGAGGCCAGTCCCTGTGCTCCTCAGAGTCCCAGCAGGAGGCCAGTCCCTGTGCTCCTCAGAGTCCCAGCAGGAGGCCAGTCCCTGTGCTCCTCAGAGTCCCAGCAGGAGTCCAGTCCCTGTGCTCCTCAGAGTCCCAGCAGGAGTCCAGTCCCTGTGCTAATGTGCAGACCATAAATGTGACAATAGAGAAACGCAGAAACAGACATCATTGAGTCGTGTTAATCTCAGATGGAAACGACCTGTGAGTAAATCAGAAAACACTTATACATCGATATGAAGCTAATAATTTATAATAATTTAATCAAACATCCCAATATTTGACTCTACTGTGTGGATTTACGGCCCCTGGCTTTAACTGGACTCATTCAAACCATCATCCGTTTGTAGAAATGAAAAACGCACAAACAAAACCTTTTCCATCTCAAACAGACACAGATTTATCCGACAGACACAATACGCACAAGTTCAGTTTATTTATCGTCCTGAGGCTTCTTTGCATGAGTGGATCCACCGCCAGAGCCGAGAGTGAGAGGGAGACACACACACACACACAGAGACACACACAGAGAGACACACACACATACATACAGAGAGACACACACACACATACACACAGAGACACACACACACACAGAGAGAGACACACACACACACACAGAGAGACACACAGACATACATACAGAGAGACACACACACACACACAGAGAGACACACACACACACACACACAGAGAGACACACACACACAGAGAGAGACACACACACACACAGAGAGAGACACACAGACACACACACAGAGAGAGACACACAGAGAGAGAGACAGACACACACACACACAGAGAGAGACACACACACACACAGAGAGAGACACACACACACACAGAGAGAGACACACACACACACAGAGAGACACACACACACCCACACAGACAAACACGCATATACACAGAGACACACACACACACACACACAGAGAGAGAGGGCTACGATCACAGAGATACATCCGCCCTGAGGGATCACACACCTCACTCCTCCCTCACACACTCAGAGACACACACATATACACTGACACACAGAGAGAAAGAGAGACACACACACACAGAGAGAGAGAGACACAGAGAGACACACACACACACACACACACAGAGAGAGAGACACACACACACAGAGACAGAGAGACACACACAGACACACAGACACACACACACACAGCCTTCAGTTCAGCTGAGATGTCAGGGCGCCTGTGCCAGGCCTCACACCGAGAGGACCACAGCCGCTGCATCTGCCCCAGGACCTCGATCAGGAGCTCGTTCTGGAGGTCTGCAGCGGAGGCAGATGCCCTACAACTGATCGCACAATATACACCAGAGAGAGACCAGAGAGAGAGAGACCGAAGAGAGAGACCAGAGAGAGGCCAGAGAGACCAGAGAGACAGACCAGAGAGAGGCCAGAGAGACCAGAGAGACAGACCAGAGAGAGACCAGAGACCAGAGAGACAGACCAGAGACCAGAGAGAGAGACCAGAGAGAGACGAGAGAGAGAGACAGAGAGAGACCAGAGAGAGACCAGAGAGAGAGAGAGACCAGAGAGAGACCAGAGAGAGAGACCAGAGAGAGAGAGAGACCAGAGAGAGAGAGAGACCAGAGAGAGAGAGAGACCAGAGAGAGAGAGACCAGAGAGAGAGAGAGACCAGAGAGAGAGACCAGAGCCATCAGACTGTATTAAATCACACAGTCTTTTTGCTTCAACCTCAACATTATCAGTGAAATCTCTCTGGTTTTAAACAACACCTATCACTAAGGGGCCATTTTGAGCCCTGGCTCCGGCACAGGTTGACTTCCCGACTTTAATTTAGAGATATTATGGGTGTGGTATTTAGGGGGTTCGTGCCAATCTCCCTGCGTCTGCCCTGAAAGCAAAAACACGATAAATATTGTAGAGAGAGCGAGCAGCCGCACAACAGGGGCTGAAAGCAGATAAAGCAGAAAGGTCTTCATACCTTCTTCACAGAGCAGCGTATTAATATTGATGAGACTTCCTGTGGCCCCCCCTCGGTGTTTCCCCTCGGTCGATTTGAACATGAAGAAGTTAAAAAGCACAAATTCCAGGAGTTGTGTATCACAGTTTGACCCGGAGCCACGCGGCAGACAGCAGCAGCGACAGACGCACCCTTCAAAGCACACAGGAGCCCCTTTCATCGCCACGTCCCGGGAAGGCCGCCGCTTTCTCTAGCTCTGCTGCTTTTTCTGCTTTCTTTCTTACACCAACATCTAGTGCTTGCCATCTGCCTTTTCCGAAAAATCAAGACACGGGATGTTGCAAGGTTCAGGAGGCATGAGGTAGGGAGAGCGGATTGACAACAGGTTGGAGAGATGGGAGGTGAGAGAGCAGAGAGAGAGAGAGAGAGAAGAGAGAGAGACCAGAGAGAGAGAGACCAGAGAGGGAGAGAGAAGAGGGAGAGACCAGAGAGTACAGAGAGAGAGAGACCAGAGAGGGAGAGAGAAGAGAGAGAGACCAGAGAGAGAGAGAAGAGAGTGAACAGGAAGAGAGAAGAGAGAGACCAGAGAGGACAGAGAGAGAGAGACCAGAGAGGGAGAGAGACCAGGAAGAGAGAGGAGAGAGAGACACACAAGAGAGAGACCAGAGAGAAGAGAAGAGAGAGAGAGGAGAACCACAGAGAGACAAGAGAGACCAGAGAGACCAGAGAGAGAGACCAGGAAGAGAGAGGAGAGAGAGACACAAGAGAGACCAGGAAGAGAGAGAGGAGAGAGGGGGACCACAGAGAGACAAGAGAGACCAGAGAGAAGACCAGAGAGAGAGAGACCAGAGGGAGAGACCAGAGAGAGAGAGACCAGATAATCTTGATATATGATAGATGTATATTTTAACAGGATAAAAGAGACACAAAAACTACTGCAAAAACAAATGTACCAAAGTCTTTTTCATGGACCATCAAAGAGTTCGTCAGCTCAAGTTGGAGCAAAGTGCTTCGGTCACATTTAGTTTAAGTTCCTGTAAACAAAACTGAAAATGTAAATGTAAAATGAAGAAATGAAACCTATTGCCTTTTAAAAAATCCCAGATTACATAAATAGTAAGTCACTTCCACTCAGTAAGCCTGGACTCAGTAATCTCTGCGTTTTGTTTTTAACTGCATATTAAGTTTAGCTTTTAGAGCCGAAAGGCAAAGCTCTCAATTTACCGGTCAATCTTCGTTCTCTCCCTCACCTATGGTCATGAGGGAGCAGCGTCTGCAGTCAGAGCTCCCTCACCTATGGTCATGAGCTTTGGGTAATGACCAAAAGAACGAGATCGCGGATACAAGCGGTCGAAATGAGCTTTCTCCGCAGAGTGGCTGCTCCCTTAGAGATAGGGTGAGGAGCTCAGTCACACGGGAGGAGCTCGGAGTAGAGCCGCTGCTCCCTTAGAGATAGGGTGAGGAGCTCAGTCACACGGGAGGAGCTCGGAGTAGAGCCGCTGCTTCTCCACGTCGAGAGGAACCAGTTGAGGTGGCTCGGGCATCTGTTCCGGATGCCTCCTGGACGCCTCCCTGGGGAGGTGTTCCGGGCACGTCCCACCGGGAGGAGGTCTCTCTCTGGGGGACCTCCTCCCTCTGTGTCCTGGGGGAAGACCCAGGACACAGAGGGACTATGTCTCTCAGCTGGCCTGGGAACGCCTTGGGGTCCCCAAAAAGTTTAGTTTCTCTGGTTTAACGTCGACAAAATGGTGTATTACAACAGCGGGGACAAGACAACAGACTGACGCCACACCGCGCACTTCCGTGTCGATGCAGGAGGGTCTAAGGACAGGGGTGATGTGCTCCCTCTGGACCAGTGTGTTTTTATCATTGTAGTTCATGTGTTTGAACCGTACTCTCTGATATGGTGTTGGCGAACTCTGAGTGGGGAGATACAAAAACACATTGAATTGAATTAATCATTTGCAGTTCCCGCCTTTATCTCCAGCCACGATTTGCGTTTTTTTCTATTCATTTTGGGTTTCAGCCTAAGTCCACAGTCTGGAGATCGGACTCTGACATTAAAAATCCGAATCGGTCTCTGTTCCCTCCTCACCTCCTGAACAGTCGAGGGCTTTTGGAAACGACTGAAGCCTAATATTGCAGATACATTCATCTGAGTTTCCTTCGCCGGTGGCAGGGCGCCAGCGGTAAACCATGATCAATGAGGAGGTCGTCTTAGCTTAACTTTTACCACGCCAACCAATCAGAGAGCAGCACCGTTGATACCGCGCTTTAGGGGGCATCTCACACAAACAAACTAGTTAAAAAACTGAGGTCGACTTTGAAGTTTATGTAGAAAAATACCAAGTAAAAAAAAGAATACAGTAAACTAATAATACGCATCAGAGAGACAAATAACCTTTAGGGCGTGTTGGGCAGCCGCCGATGAGACCGTCTTTGAGCACCCCCAGGCCCAGACCACAGTCCCAGAGCTCCGGGCCAAAGCCACGGACCATGGGAGGACGTGGAGGGAGCGGGATGAGTCACTGTAGACTCACACGTACAAGAGGCATGTCAGGGAGAAGGAGCCACGGAGCCCCAGGGAGGGACCGGAGACGGCGGCGAGAGGAGGCCGAGAGACGGGGAAAGTTATGAAATAAAAAGAAGTGAAAGAGAGTCTGTTTTTGTCCCATTTCAGGTCATTAGACAATCATGTTGTTACGAAGTCAGAGGAGAGACCTCACCACAGAGTAAGATTCTGCCTCAAGATTATCACTGCTCCATTCAATGTTGGTTCTGTGGTTCGAAAACAGAGAAAAGACCAGAGAGAGAGACCAGAGACCAGAGACAGAAAGAGAGAGAGAGAGAGAAAGAAAGAGACAGAGAGAGACCAGAGAGAGAGACCAGAGAGAGAGAGACCAGAGACCAGAGACAGAAAGAGAGAGAGAGAGAGAAAGAAAGAGACAGAGAGAGACCAGAGAGAGAGACCAGAGAGAGAGACCAGAGAGAGAGAGACCAGAGACCAGAGACAGAAAGAGAGAGAGAGAGAGAAAGAAAGAGACAGAGAGAGACCAGAGAGAGAGACCAGAGAGAGAGACCAGAGAGAGAGAGATCAGAGAGAGAGAGAGAGAGAGAGAGAGAGAAAGAGACAGAGTGAGACCAGAGAAAGACCAGAGAAAGACCAGAGAGAGAAAACAGAGAAAGAGAGAGACCAGAGAGAGAGACCGGAGGGAGACCAGAGAGAGAGACCGGAGGGAGACCAGAGAGAGAGACCGGAGAGAGACCAGAGAGAGACCAGAGAGAGACCAGAGAGAGAAAACAGAGAGAGAAAACAGAGAGAGAGAGAGAGAGAGAGAGAAAGAGACAGAGTGAGACCAGAGAAAGACCAGAGAGAGAAAACAGAGAAAGAGAGAGACCAGAGAGAGAGACCGGAGGGAGACCAGAGAGAGAGACCGGAGGGAGACCAGAGAGAGAGACCGGAGGGAGACCAGAGAGAGAGACCGGAGAGAGACCAGAGAGAGACCAGAGAGAGACCAGAGAGAGACCAGAGAGAGAAAACAGAGAAAGAGAGAGACCGGAGGGAGTCCAGAGAGAGAGACCGGAGGGAGACCAGAGAGAGAGACCGGAGGGAGACCAGAGAGAGAGACCGGAGGGAGACCAGAGAGAGAGACCGGAGGGAGACCAGAGAGAGAGACCGGAGGGAGACCAGAGAGAGACCAGAGAGAGACCAGAGAGAGACCAGAGAGAGACCAGAGAGAGAAAACAGAGAAAGAGAGACCAGAGAGAGACCAGAGAGAGACCAGAGAGAGAGATCAGAGAGAGAGATCAGAGAGAGAGAGAGAGAGAGAGAAAGAGACAGAGTGAGACCAGAGAAAGACCAGAGAGAGAAAACAGAGAAAGAGAGAGACCAGAGAAAGACCAGAGAGAGAAAACAGAGAAAGAGAGAGACCAGAGAGAGACCGGAGGGAGACCAGAGAGAGAGACCGGAGAGAGACCAGAGAGAGACCAGAGAGAGACCAGAGAGAGACCAGAGAGAGACCAGAGAGAGACCAGAGAGAGACCAGAGAGAGACCAGAGCGAGACAGGAGGGAGACCAGAGAGAGACCGGAGAGAGAGAGAGAGAGAGACCAGAGACCAGAGAGAGAGAGAGAGAGAGAGAGAGAGAGAGAGAGAGAGAGAGAGAGAAAGAAAGAGACAGAGAGAGAAAGAAAGAGACAGAGTGAGACCAGAGAGAGACCGGAGAGAGACCAGAGAGTGAGAGAGACCAGAGAGAGACCAGAGAGTGAGAGAGACCAGAGAGTGAGAGAGACCATAGAGAATCAATACAGATTGATAATAACTGCAGTAGTCACTAATCGAGTCCCGCGGGCCACATTTAGCTCGTGTTTCAGACCCGCCTGAGACCTTCCACTCAGTGATAAACCTCAGACCAGATCTCAGCCGTTCAGAGCTTTTCTTCACTTACAAACGGAGCGTGTGGGAGCAAAGTGTCAAAACAAGTGCTTTTTGAGTCCTCTCTGCCGCCTGGAAACCTCTCGTGTTGGGGCTGATTCGTGGCCTGTAGCGCCGTCTCCTCTTGGCTCCCGCGTGGGTTTCTCTCATGACAAACGCCCTCGTCTCTGTCACCGACGCCGGCTCTTTCTGGCATTCTGCATCTTGTAATTATTCCCTCAAAGTGATTTCATCTCCTTTGGGGGACTCGGATCTGTGCCGTGTTTAATCAGAAGAGAAAGATACAGAAGACGATTCCCGTGTAAGTCCCAACAATGACAACACGGGTTCTCTCTCGTCTTTTAGTTTAGTGTAGGAGGAAAGAGGAGGGGGAGGTTTCAGGGAGAGAGAAAGAGAGACCACAGACTAGAGAGAGAGACCACAGACTAGAGAGACTAGAGAGAGAGAGAGATCAGAGACTAGAGAGACAGAGATCAGAGACCAGAGACGAGAGAGAGAGAGAGAGAGACCAGAGACGAGAGACGAGAGAGAGAGAGAGAGAGACCAGAGACGAGAGAGAGAGAGAGAGACCAGAGACGAGAGAGAGAGAGAGAGACCAGAGACGAGAGAGAGAGAGAGAGAGAGAGACCAGAGACTAGAGAGAGAGAGAGAGACCAGAGACTAGAGAGAGAGAGAGAAACCAGAGACTAGAGAGAGAGAGAGAGAGACCAGAGACTAGAGAGAGAGAGAGAGAGAGACTAGAGAGAGAGAGAGAGAGAGACCAGAGACTAGAGAGAGAGAGAGAGACTAGAGACTAGAGACTAGAGAGAGAGAGAGACCAGAGACGAGAGACGAGAGACGAGAGAGAGAGAGAGACCAGAGACGAGAGAGAGAGAGAGAGAGAGAGAGAGAGACGAGAGACTAGAGAGAGAGAGAGAGAGACCAGAGACTAGAGAGAGAGAGAGACCAGAGACTAGAGAGAGAGAGAGAACCAGAGACTAGAGAGAGAGAGAGAGAGACCAGAGACTAGAGAGAGAGAGAGAGAGACCAGAGACTAGAGAGAGAGAGAGAGAGAGACCAGAGACTAGAGAGAGAGAGAGAGAGAGACTAGAGACTAGAGACTAGAGAGAGAGAGAGAGACCAGAGAGACCAGAGACTAGAGAGAGAGAGACCAGAGACTGAGACTTGAAAGAGAGACTAAGACCGGAGAGTTAGCCACAAAACCAACTGCTTCAAGAAACTTCAGAATCCCTTTTGAATAAAAATGATTAAACTAAGGTAGGTCTGGGCCGTTCATAGAGACAGTGTTCCGTATCAGTCAATATTGATAATTGTTATTTTTAAGCATAAATATATTTGTGCTGATCCCAGACTTGGCAAGGATCCAGATCTTAGTTTGCAGAATGCATCGTGTCAAACATGGTGCCGCTCCTCCTTCACCGGCTGCTGTTGCCTTTTTTACATTTTTTTTTATTGTTCTTCCAGTTTTTCTTTGAGTTAAATTAAATTATTAAACATTCTATTGAACCCCTTTTTTAAATCGATATTTTTCACATGTCTATCGTGATATATATCGTTTCATCGCTCAGGCCTAAAATGAAGAGTGTGATTGTTGTTACCAGAGACGTCTACCAGTCCCACAGCGGGGAAATGTCAGTGTTGCACCACAAGTTACAGAACAGGAAAGAGGAGCACACAGCAGATAAGTGAACAATAGCTGTACTAATTAAAAGGGGATGATTAAGAGGAGAGTCCTGTGAGGATGAGCCTAGATGAGTAAATTAATGAAAATATATCTGTACAACAAGAGCAAAAACTTTTTTATTTTTCCCAACATTTCCCTAAAAGCTTCAGACCCGAGCGCAGGCGTGAGGAAAGCCACATCTATAATATATCAGGCCAGAGAGAGACTGACCAGAGAGAGAGAGAGAAAGAGAGACTGAGGCCAGAGACAGAGACTGAGACCAGAGAGAGAGACCTGAGAAAGAGACTGAGGCCAGAGAGAGAGAGACCTGAGAGAGACTGAGGCCAGAGAGAGAGAGAGAGACTGAGGCCAGAGAGAGAGAGACCTGAGAGAAACTGAGGCCAGAGAGAGAGAGAGAGACTGAGGCCAGAGAGAGAGAGAGAGAGAGACTGAGGCCAGAGACAGAGACTGAGACCAGAGAGAGAGACCTGAGAAAGAGACTGAGGCCAGAGAGAGAGAGACCTGAGAGAAACTGAGGCCAGAGAGAGAGAGAGAGACTGAGGCCAGAGAGAGAGAGAGAGAGAGAGAGAGAGAGACTGAGGCCAGAGACAGAGACTGAGACCAGAGAGAGAGACCTGAGAAAGAGACTGAGGCCAGAGAGAGAGAGACCTGAGAGAAACTGAGGCCAGAGAGAGAGAGAGACTGAGGCCAGAGAGAGAGAGAGAGAGAGAGAGACTGAGGCCAGAGAGAGAGAGAGAGAGAGATGCCAGAGAGAGAGGAAAGCCACATCTATGAGAGAGACCAGAGCGAGAGAGAGAGAGATACCATAGAGAGAGAGACCAGGTCTGTAATAACCACTGTTCGCAGCTGAAGCCTTTGTATCCAACACCAAAACACGGTAATTTCTTAAGTGCGTTTCATTTCACTGCAATTAGTTTTCTACTTTAATTTGTGGAATCAGTGCAAGAAAAGAAGCTCCTGCAGCAGCCTCCCTCCCCCTCCCCCTCCGCTGCAGCCGGGAGATTGTGTGGTCGCGGCCGCACCCGACCCGGGGCCACTGCAGGCGTTTGAGCATCTCTGCGCAGGGGTCGGAGGTGAGTAATTTTTGCGTTTGCATGTCTTTGTAGTGCGCGTCCCCCCCCCCCCCCCCCCGAGATCTGGCTTCAGTGGCGGGAGATCCACGTGACGCTGCCGCCGCCAGGCATCCTCCCAGGACCACCTCTCCGACAGCGGTGACCCCACAGAGCGATGAAGAGGAGGAGGGAGAGGAGGAGGGAGAGGGAGTATTGACGAGCTGCTGGATTCGCTTCTGCAGAGACGGCCGCTCGCGTTTGCCAAAGACCTTGTTTTAAACTTTAGCCGACGGAGCCACAGAAGGATGGTCCGTTGGAGAAGTCTCCGGGGAGAAGGATGAGGAAGATCTTGGCAGCGCTGGGTTTAGGCCAATATTTCCAAGTGTTTTACAATAACTTTGAAGACGAAAGTGCGATGGATGTGTCAGAAGTGAGACCAGAGAGAGAGAGAGACTAGGGAGAGAGAGACCAGGGAGAGAGAGACTAGGGAGAGAGAGAGAGAGACTAGGGAGAGAGAGACCAGGGAGAGAGAGACTAGGGAGAGAGAGAGAGAGACTAGGGAGAGAGACTAGGGAGAGAGGCCAGGGAGAGAGAGACCAGGGAGAGAGGCCAGGGAGAGAGAGGCCAGGGAGAGAGAGACCAGGGAGAGAGAGACCAGGGAGAGAGAGAGAGAGACTAGGGAGAGAGGCCAGGGAGTGAGAGAGAGAGAGCGACCAGGGAGAGAGGCCAGGGAGTGAGAGAGAGAGAGAGACTAGGGAGAGAGAGACCAGGGAGAGAGGCCAGGGAGAGAGAGACCAGGGAGAGAGAGACCAGGGAGAGAGAGACCAGGGAGAGAGAGACCAGGGAGAGAGAGACCAGGGAGAGAGAGACCAGGGAGAGAGGCCAGAGAGAGACTAGGGAGAGAGGCCAGGGAGTGAGAGAGAGAGAGCGACCAGGGAGAGAGGCCAGGGAGTGAGAGAGAGAGAGAGACTAGGGAGAGAGAGACCAGGGAGAGAGGCCAGGGAGTGAGAGAGAGAGAGAGACCAGGGAGAGAGGCCAGGGAGTGAGAGAGAGAGAGAGAGAGAGACTAGGGAGAGAGAGACCAGGGAGAGAGGCCAGGGAGTGAGAGAGAGAGAGAGAGACCAGGGAGAGAGACCAGAGAGAGAGACCAGAGAGAGAGACCAGAGAGAGAGGCCAGGGAGTGAGAGAGAGAGAGAGAGACTAGGGAGAGAGGCCAGAGAGAGAGAGAAACTAGGGAGAGAGGCCAGGGAGAGAGAGACTAGGGAGAGGCCAGGAAGACTAGGGAGAGAGGGAGAGAGAGAGAGGCCAGGGAGAGAGAGACCAGGGAGAGAGAGACCAGGGAGAGAGAGAGAGAGAGAGACCAGGGAGAGAGGCCAGGGAGAGAGAGAGACACTGCGATGGATGTGTCAGAAGTGAGAACAGAGAGAGAGAGAGAGCGAGAGAGGCCAGGGAGAAGGAAAACCAGAGAGTCAGAGAGTCAGGCCAATTAAGTACATCTACTAATCCACCAACCCAGCCTCGGTCCCGGGTCTACAGCCTCGGTCCCGGGTCTACAGCCTCGGTCCCGGGTCTACAGCCTCGGTCCCGGGTCTACAGCCTCGGTCCCGGGTCTACAGCCTCGGTCCCGGGTCCACAGCCTCAGTCCCGGGTCCACAGCCTCAGTCCCGGGTCCACAGCCTCAGTCCCGGGTCCACAGCCTCAGTCCCGGGTCCACAGCCTCAGTCCCGGGTCCACAGCCTCAGTCCCGGGTCCACAGCCTCAGTCCCGGGTCCACAGCCTCAGTCCCGGGTCTACAGCCTCAGTCCCGGGTCTACAGCCTCAGTCCCGGGTCTACAGCCTCAGTCCCGGGTCTACAGCCTCAGTCCCGGGTCTACAGCCTCAGTCCCGGGTCTACAGCCTCAGTCCTGGGTCTACAGCCTCAGTCCTGGGTCTACAGCCTCAGTCCTGGGTCTACAGCCTGCTTCTCTGATCTGTCGTTTGCTGAATCCACACATTTGTAAAATCCTCCCTAGATTTAGAGCTGATCACAAAATTAACAACTATAAAACACCAAGAATCCTCTAAATTAAACAAAAATAGGTCGATGAATATTTTCGGGCATAATAATAACTTATGCAACGGACTATACGCAGCGAAACTACGGTACCAACGTTAAAGAAGGACCCGGCCAAGGCCCCTGACATCATGAAAAAGACAGTGCTTAATGTAGCACAAAAATGGCCTCAGGAAGCGTCCTTCTTCAAACACACGAAACACTTTTTCCGTAGCTGGAGAAAAGCCAAAGGCAGTGTGAGTGTTTAAGTGGTCAGACGACAAACGAGTCTGATCGCGAAAGGGTCCGAGGGGGTTTTTCTCTTTCTTTTTTCTCCTCGGTGAAATCTCCAGATCCACGCTCACGAAATGCCATTTTAGGAGCCGGCAATAACTCTGACAGAAAGTGCTGGCCTTGGTGGATATTTATACATGCGAGAGGAGGCGAGATCAAAGCCGAGCGAGTCAGGCTAATTTCGCATGTGGCCTTCAGGAATGCAAGTTATTTCGTAAATAAAAACGTAGTAAATATTTTCCCCCCTGTAAAAGCCAATAAAACTCTGAGCTTCAACTTCAGGGAGCTCAGGCCAAACTGTGGGGCTTATACTTTTCATGGAGGTGAATATTCAAACAAAACAAAAATACTTATTACCTTGACGTGGTGCGATTGTAGCTTCATCTAAAGCAGTGGTCTATATAACATGCGACATCACATTTAGAGCCAGTGAGAGTCTGGGTCTAATGAGGCTGCTACAGATGTAAACAGACTTTATATTTATGCACGAGAATAGACAGGATGTTATACTTGCTTCTTACTCTGCTAACGTCAGGGGTTAAGTCTTGCTTCGTCATGTTTAAAGCCAGTCTGTGTAATTTCTACAGTTGCTCCAAATGAAAAAACATGGTAAACAAAAACAAAGAATATTTACCTCCAACATGTTTTTAAATTGTTGTCATAGACTCAGAATGTGACTTATAAATGTCTGAGGCCGAGGACTCTCTGTGTGAATCCTCCATCTTGGACTACAGAGGCTGATAAGGGACAAAAAGGAGTTTGAGCGGGAGTTAGGGACCTCTGTAAAGACCACATATTGTCCTGCGAAGCCACTGCAGTCCTGGAAATTACAACACATGATCTCAAAGCTAGACGGGAGTAAAAACTACACAGTGTAGCTTTAAAGGAGGAGAGTTTGGACTTCTTTCCTTATCATGCTAACGATTCTATAGTGATTTTTATGCTAGCTAGAACGGATGGTCTTGGGCCCATATTTTAGACCAGCTTCAGTTTCCATCGCTCCTTGACGTGCTTCACCTCGGTTCATGCAGACTCTGAACCATCTGCCAATTACTGCTGTGGAGATTCTAAAATAAAACGCATCCTGAGCTGCAGAAACCTGGCGCCGTGTGAGAGTTGGCTGGATCCTCGCAGCATCCATGACTAACCTGGAGATTACAGCTAAAACCCGGAGAAGCCAGTGCAAACGTGTCCAGGTTTCCATTCGTCCAAACGACACAAAAATGCAACAATTACGGCGTCGCGGCTCAGATCTGAGGCGTGCGTCACTCAAAAGAAACAAGTTCTGCTAAATGCTTTCACTCCGGGGCAGCAGACACAACCCAGACAATACACGACGTCCGGATTATCCACAAGAAAGACTCGCAGAACACAGAAAACTAAAATAAAACTGGAAACGTTGAAAGTAAAAGCCTGTATTATGATTAGTGTAATACCTCCAACCCAGGCCTGTCCAAACTCAGGCCCGAGAGCCAATTGCGGCCCGCAGTGTCATTCTGCGTGGCCCTATGCCTCGCTAACCCAAAACACCATTGAGATTTAGAAACACAAGTTCATAATGTCATCCAGCCAACTTTCGCTTCTCCAATACAAGCATGTTATACTGTTATATCTGTTGTCTGCCCCTGGAAAAGTCTGGGAAACTAAAGTGGTTCTCTTAATCAAAAGTTTGAACACCCCTGGTTTACCCTGAACCAGAAAATGTCCAAAATTCTTCTAACTTTGATACTATAACTTTATTAAAGCGATCCTTTTTTGTGCCACGGAGGTGAAATGTCAGTGTTGCATCACAAGTTACAGAACAGTAGGAATCAGAAGCAACCACTAAACTTCCATAGAAAAATCTCTTGAAATTATAAAGTAGTAAGTTATGTTTATATAGCGCATTTTTACACTAGTGCAAGAATATTAAAGCAGTACGTTATTTATCTATAATACAGAAGCAGCCTGCTCACTGGCCTCCTGCTGGGACTCGGACCAGCACAGGGACCGACCTCCTGCCGGGACTCGGACCAGCACAGGGACCGACCTCCTGCTGGGACTCGGAGGAGCACAGGGACCGGCCTCCTGCCGGGACTCGGACCAGCACAGGGACCGGCCTCCTGCCGGGACTCGGACCAGCACAGGGACCGGCCTCCTGCCGGGACTCGGACCAGCACAGGGACCGACCTCCTGCTGGGACTCGGAGGAGCACAGGGACCGGCCTCCTGCCGGGACTCGGACCAGCACAGGGACCGGCCTCCTGCCGGGACTCGGACCAGCACAGGGACCGGCCTCCTGCCGGGACTCGGACCAGCACAGGGACCGGCCTCCTGCTGGGACTCGGACCAGCACAGGGACCGACCACCGAGCGGCTTAAGAAACTAATATCTGTGAATATAATGGAACAATCCTTCGCCGTCGTCCCGCGATGATGGATCACTTCTACAATTACCTCTAATGGCCGCGTGGAGCCGTCACGTCTCTTGGCACGCGCTGTGGCAGGTGCTAGCTGCGCACAGAAGCAGTCGCAGCCGGTTCGCGTCTCCTCCTCCTGATGACGACACCGAGCTGCTGCTGCTTTCCTGATGACGACTATTGGATGTGGCAACACGCGAGGTGAGTAAGAATTGGGTCAACAAGGTACGGCACTTCCCACAAACTCTCTGCGGTGAATCACGGGCGAGAGAGCGGGAGACTGAGGCGCCGCGCGGTGATGGGCAGTGACAGCAGCACGCCGCGGCAGACGCTAACCACTCGTTACAGGCTGTTGATCTGAATCTTTCATTTAAACTATTATAAAAGCAGAGGTTGTGTGTTGTCTTCATGAGAGAGGACAGGAAACACACACCTGCAGCACAGACTACAGCAGACCTCACTCCTCATCACTCATCTGTGCAGTGAGACGTGTTTATCTCCAGGTCTGCCTGAAAATGTGAGACAGCCTTCTACTTTTAGATCCTTATCCATGCATTTTACTCCAGTGGGTTAGACTCCACTGGACTCCTGCTGGGACTCGGAGGAGCACAGGGACTGGCCTCCTGCTGGGACTCGGAGGAGCACAGGGACTGGCCTCCTGCTGGGACTCGGAGGAGCACAGGGACTGGCCTCCTGCTGGGACTCGGAGGAGCACAGGGACTGGCATTCCTGCTGGGACTCGGAGGAGCACAGGGACTGGCCTCCTGCTGGGACTCTGAGGAGCACAGGGACTGGCCTCCTGCTGGGACTCGGAGGAGCACAGGGACTGGCCTCCTGCTGGGACTCGGAGGAGCACAGGGACTGGCATTCCTGCTGGGACTCGGAGGAGCACAGGGACTGGCCTCCTGCTGGGACTCGGAGGAGCACAGGGACTGGACTCCTGTTAGTGCCCAGAGTCAGCACTAAACATGAGGAGGCAGCGTTTCAGATTTATACAGCTAAAATCTAGAACAGTCTTCCTGAAAATGTGAGACAGGCCTCTTCTCTGACAATGTTTAAACCAGGTTAAAACAGATTTGTTTTGCTGCAACTGAAGGATTTTCTCTCTATCTTTTTTTAATGCTCTGCGATTATTTATGATTTTAAAGTCTTGTTTTGTTATACATTTAGTTTCCTTATGCATGAACTGTGCTACACTGATAAACTTGCCTTTATTTTTGTATAGATTTGAAGAATGTAAACAAATAAATACACAGGATAATCACCATTCAACAACATCAGCCAATCAGAGGCCGGCTCAGTGGTCACATGACTGGTTGGAGTTCACTCATTGCTTTAGCGGAGTTTTGAAGCTGGTCTTGTTAAAAATGAGCCAAAACAAGGTCAAATCTGCGAAAATATTAACTTTTTTACACATATAAAAGTTGCATAATGCCCCATGGAGTTGAAACAAAATTATGATTAGGTTTTGTTTGATCTTTTTAAACATTTCCAGCTCAGAGAAACTACTTATACTACCACCCCCTCATGCTGCTACATGCTCAGCTCCTGGATATTCACAACTACATATATATCTCACTATAGAATCATTTCACACTTGCTTCACTGCCTCCAGGGTTTGAAGCAGAGAATGTTCTAACAAGGAGAGAAAACACCACAAACAGCAGCATCAGAAGCAGATTGTGTCATTCTAATCCCACACTGACATCAGCGACACTTCCCCAGAAATTAGGCAATATTTCACGAATGCGTTGAGCAATTTCAGACGACTCACTCACGGTAAACTTCCATCATCGCTAACAAGACGATTCCTCGATTCCCAGCGTCATGCCCAGAACTTTATAATGTGATCGGTTTCAGACAGAGATTAAGAGGTCATTTACTTGTCCCACAGTGGGGAAATGTCAGTGTTGCAACGATACAGAACTGCGGCGTGAGGAGCACACAGCACAAGATAATAATAATAATAATAAATCAAACTTGTATAGAGCTTTTTTGGACACTCAGACGCTTCACATGGAGAGTAAATAAATAATAAAAGGGGTTTACAGAAAAGCTTGTTTGAAAAGATGGGTTTTGAGATTAATTTAAAGTTTGTCAGTTTCTAACGGGCAGTGGGAGTGAGTTCCAGAGGGTTGGGGCGGAAATGGCAAAAGCTCTGTCCATGAACAATTACTCTATACTAACTATATCCTCAAATAAAATCTCTAACTTTAGCATAATAAAGAAGCAAACTATAAAATGTGTGAAATGTATAGTATATTGTTATTTACCTTGTAGAATAAAATAACATCTTTATGAGAAGATAGATACTTTAATAAACATGATGGTGACGAGAATGAGGATAGACTGTAATGTAACTATACAATATAATTTTTAATTGTCATTGAATTGAAATGTGTATTGAAGTATGTATGTCAAACAACTGAATCCCGTATAAACCTGAAAAAATATAAATAAATACCTCAAATACTGTATATTCTAGGTATTTAGATTAATATTGAATCTAATATGGTATAGTATAGGTTTAGTTAGGCTGCAAATACGATAGAAAATACAAATTGTGCCAGGACTGTGAATGTGAGCGGCTGTATACGATAAACAAAAAAAAATACTGCAAATACTACACACAGTAGAAGAGTCAGAAGTAACGAGTCACACAGTTATAAAGATCAGAAAAGTTAAATATCTATAGAAATCAATGGATGCATCATAACACACTGCAAATACTTTGACTTAGGTATAAAAACTTGCCACTAAAAATGTTAAACACAGAAACATTGAAAACATTAACATCTGCCCATTATGAAAACATGGGTAAAAAGTGTATCTTGAAGTACAAATACTACAAGAGATACTCATACCAGAAGTAAAAGCAGACATAAAACCACATCATGAATAGTGGACATTCCCAAAAACATGGAATTTGGAGAAACTCAACACAATGGGAATGTTTCACCTCCATCACCAAAACACCACCCACTTCTGACGCTTTTCACACTTTGAGAATCAGCTTTTGGCCTTTTCTGTTCCCATCAGCTGCATCAACACCAGGCATGACACCAAATACATCATTATTATTATTAAAGCAGTATGTTTCAAGCACATGCACTTAATGTTAACCTTTATATGCATTTATCAACCACATCTGAGGTATTTGTGGAAACTGACATGTTTAAGAATGCATTGAAAACACATGAGAAGTTGCCAAACAGAGATGCCAAATCAGTTCAGTGAAAGTTAGCATCCAGTGGCTACAATGCTAATGCAATGCTACTAGCAAAACTTTTATCAAACTCGTAAAACACTGACTGGAGACATTTCCCGACAGCAGCAGAGCGCATTGAATGAGAGCAGGCGTTTTCACAACTTTAAAGCACGTGAATGACATGTTAAATGCAGTTTTAAAAGTTGAAAAGTAGCTAGCTTTGATGCTAGGCGCTTACCCGGAAATGCTAATGCTAACCCTCCGCGTGCGCAGCGTGGACCAAGTTTGTTTTGACTTTCTCCTTTTTCTTCGGGGTCTGGAAATGTGGAAACTTCTGGCGTCTGGGTAATCACGGGCCTCTTCTCATCTGAAAACTGTTCTCCCCCCAGAGAGAGAGGTGGAGCCGCGGGGAGGGCAGGCGACGGGACCGGGCAGACGTGAGCTGGTGCCCCGGGAGAAGCGGTGCGTCTGCGGGTGTGAGTCAGTAGCTCGGCTCGGTGTCATGGGTGGATGGATGGATGTGTTGGGCTGAAGCGAGCCGAGCTGTGCAAATGTAAACACGGGAGCATTCCACCAAAGCTGAGGCGGGGCGAGTGTCAGAGAGATGTTAAATACCGCGAGATCCGACGGAAACTTAACCCTTTGTACTGTTTAATTTTTTTTTGTTTTTTTTGTTTATTTGTTTATTTGAGCAATACACATTGTGCTCAAAAGGAGTGGGCTGAAGCAAAAAGCTTATGAGCCCCCAACCCCAAGTGCAATACATAAAAAAAGAACATTTCAAAACATTTCAAGCAGCTACATTCGTACAGACCAAATTACAACAAAAAACAAAAATATATTCACTCTTTATATAATTAATTGGAACAACGCACAGCTACAACAACAATCTAGTTTCATATACGATGTCTAGAACAAAGCAAGTCAGAAAATGTGTTATTTAATATATTGCTTGCAGATTTTTACCCGTGATTACAGAGTTACCATCCATCCATTTTCTTCCCTTTAATCCATTTCTGGGTCAGGGGGGTGACAGTCAGAGATGCCACCCAAGTCTCATAGCACCAGCCCCTCACTGACCCTCTGCAGGTGGTGAGTCCACAGGAGGTAACAGAGTTACTTTTATGGTATAAAAGTACATTAATAGATATTATAATCTGAGATCTTGATACTTTCCAGTTGTCATTACCATTCTCAGTATCATTTTAATTTGGGTTTAATTATCATCATCATTATTATATATTTATTTAATTGAGTTATGTGAAGTAGGATGAAAGCCCTGCACTGTTTCAGCCGCGGGTCTGTCAGAGGCAAAGGCGAGGTTATTTGTATGGCACAGTGCAGACACAAGGCAACTCAACATGCTGAATAAAGCAAGAAAAACATATCACATTGTTACATGGGCATGTATAGGACCAGGACAGAATGAAACGCATTATATTTAAAGAAACAATCCTTCAGTTGTTGCAGCAAAACAGAACCGTTTTAAAATGAGTTTGACCATTGTCAGAGAAGAAGCCTGTCTCCTATTTTCAGGAAGACTGTTCCAGATTTTAGCTGCATGAATCTGAAAGTATTTCCTGATGTTTAGTCCAGACTCTGGGACCAGCAGGAGGCCAGTCCCTGTGCTCCTCAGAGTCACAGTGGGGAAATGTCAGTGTTGCAACGATACAGAACATGAGCATGAGGAGCACACAGCACAAGATAATAATAATAATAATAAATCAAACTTGTATAGCGCTTTTTTGGACACTCAGACGCTTCACATGGAGAGTAAATAATAAAAGGGGTTTACAGAAAAGCTTGTTTGAAAAGATGGGTTTTGAGATTAATTTAAAGTTTGTCAGTTTCTAACGGGCAGTGGGAGTGAGTTCCAGAAGGTTGGGGCGGAAATGGCCAAAGCTCTGTCCATGAACAATTACTCTATACTAACTATATCCTCAAATAAAATCTCTAACTTTAGCATAATAAAGAAGCAAACTATAAAATGTGTGAAATTGTTATTTACCTGGTAGAATATAATAAAATCTTTATGAGAAGATGGATACTTGAATAAACATGATGGTGACGAGACTGAGGATGGACGGTAATGACACTATACAATATAATTTGTAATTGTTATTATTGAATTAGTCGTGTTACCCTGTGCTCCTTAGAGTCCCAGCAGGAGGCCAGTCCCTGTGCTCCTTAGAGTCCCAGCAGGAGGCCAGTCCCTGTGCTCCTTAGAGTCCCAGCAGGAGGCCAGTCCCTGTGCTCCTTAGAGTCCCAGCAGGAGGCCAGTCCCTGTGCTCCTTAGAGTCCCAGCAGGAGGCCAGTCCCTGTGCTCCTCAGAGTCCCAGCAGGAGGCCAGTCCCTGTGCTCCTCAGAGTCCCAGCAGGAGGCCAGTCCCTGTGCTCCTCAGAGTCAGTCCCTGTGCTTCCTATGGCACTAACATGTCACAGATGTACTTTGGTGCGAGGTCATGGAGAGCCTTGTAACAAACAGAGCTGCTTTAAAGTGTGTTCTCGGAGCCACAGGAGCCACAGGAGCCAGTGCAGAGACCTGTGTCTGCTCTGGTATTTGGAAGGGAGATCGAGTCAGATCTTTGAGGCTAAGCAGGGCAGGGCCTGGTTAGAACTGATGGGAGACCCTGTAGGAACATCAAGTGCTACAGTAGGGCGGCAACTTGTCACTGTTGTAATTTTGGGAAATTCACAAATAAATAGCACCATAAAGAAGACATGTGAACCTTTGTACATGCATTCACTCTGTTACTTAATACCGTCCTGCCGAAAGAAGAGAGAGTTCCCTTTGCTTTGTCTGAAATTAACTTCAACCCGACACTTTTAATCACAAAATGAAAAACCCGAGACCAGGCCTTTGCTTTCTGCACTGTTCAGGCCTGTGGAAAAAACCTCATCATCACTTTGTCTTTTAAAACATATGAAGTGAAAGATATTGCCGAGTACAGTATCCTCCCTCCTCCTTCAGAAGCAGCAGATATCCCCAGACGTTATGGCTTTAATTGGAAGTATTATGGGAATCTATCAACACAAAGAACCGCTCTATAGACACGCACGGACAGCCGCAGCATCCGGATTTGATCACTTCTGTACACGCTTTGGGCCTGATTTGAAAGTGACAATTCAAAGCACCTCAGTTTCTCCGATCCCGACTGTTAATAATCAACAAGTTTTAGGCAGGGCTGCGTTTTTCCGACTTTCTTTTTCTTTCAGCCTCCACTTCAATCGCCTTTTTGTTAACCTCACCGCAAATACAGATGGAAGAGAAAACAAGGAGAGGGAGATAGATGCCTGGAGTGATAGGATTCCCCCCTTTGCGTTTTTTTTTCCTTCCAAACAAGAGTCGAAGATTAAAAGAACCGTCGGCGCAGAAATCTGTCAATTCCGCTGCGTTGTGAATAATGCAGTTATATCGGGTCTGCTTCGACGCCCACAATTTTCTTTCCGATAGCATCAATGGCGCGCGGATGACAGATAGGGACGGTCTTTTGTAACTTCAAATTTCATCTTTCTGAGGGAATAATTAGAGGCGTAATGCGGGCGGGTGCAGAGGAGGGTGCACCCGAGATCCCGCGGTTTCGCCTCCGTCTCTTCGGAAAAGCAGTTAATAAAATCCATTTCCATTGTTCTAAAAGTAGCGACCGCTTTTTAACCGGCGGCAAACTTTCTGTTCCGTTTTGCGGGCGTGTCGTCGGGAGTTTTCGCGCTTGATTCGTGGGTTTTGTTTGCTCAGCGAGAGGTGCGACAGATTCTATTTTGCTCTTCTTCACCTGCAGACCCCGTGTCGCTGCCACAGGATGGAGCGGAGCCTTCGGGGGAAAAGCTGTGAAAAAGTCTGGGCTTCTTTACTGTAAATTACATTTAGCACAGATTAGCTTCTATAGGCTCAAAGTTTCTCACAGAAATAGCCGGAATTTATGAGCTGTGGTTTTACTTGTTTTCACCCAAAGAAGAATTTTACAGCAACAAAAGTATTTATTCAATATGTAAGATTTGCATGTAAAGTCATCATTAAAGGGCCCTAATCTGTCATAATTAAACAGCCCTAATCTGTCATTAAAGGGCCCTAATCTGACATCATTAAAGGGCCCTAATCTGTCATCATTACAGGGCCCTAATCTGACATCATTAAAGGGCCCTAATCTGTCGTCATTAAATGTCCCTAATCTGTCATCGTTAAAGGGCCCTAATCTGTCATAATTTAAGGCCCATAATCTGTCATCATTAAAGGGCCCTAATCTGTCATCATTAAAGGGACCTAATCTGTCATCATTAAAGGGCCCTAATCTGTCATCATTAAAGGGCCCTAATTTGTCCTCATTAGAGGGCCCTAATCTGTCCTCATTAAAGGGCCCTAATCTGTCATAATTAAAGGGCTCTAATCTGTCATCATAATAATCTGCTCTTTTCCAATACTTCTTTAACTGATAACAGTAGTTCAGAGATATTTGAATTTCTAAATTACTTTTCCAGTCCCTAAATCTTGTTATTGTTTTCATTTCGATGTCCCGCCCTCCACCGTTTCACCAATCAGAAAGTCTGTGATCCGGGCGCCAGAACTCACCGCGTGGAGCTAATCTCACTGGTAAAGTACCATGTGGAGCTAATCTCACTGGTAAAGTACCATGTGGCACAGAACTAAAAAAGCTCTCGTTATGATTCTCAAATCATTAACGACAAAACAAGGAATAAAACCAGGATTTCTATCTTTGTGAAAAAGGTGTTGGTTATAGATTTGTTGTTGACAAAACTCTTGTCTATTCAGCTGTTATGGTCCCAGCTGGATTCGTCTGCATATCTGGCAACTTGAGTCAGGGAGAGTGGGAGAGGCTGCAGTACCACTTTTGGACACACTTTTACACACTGCTCCTTTAAATAGAAAACACACAGGTATTGGTCCAAAAAGAGCAGATAGCCAATGTTCTTGTATAGATAAATGTCCATAAATGTAAACAAACCCGTTACACTTCCTGGAGTCCATTATTATTATTATTATTATTATTATTATTAATCTTTATTAAGGACACAATACAACACGGTCCATAGTTAAAAAAAAAAAAACCAAAGAAAAAATATATACAAGAAAACAAACCAAAGAGAACATTACTATGTAATACTACCATTATTATTATTACTGGAGTACTTGGATTATTATTATTACTGGAGTACTTGGATTATTATTATTACTGGAGTACTTACATTAGCCTAAACTAGAGTGAATGAATGATGCTAGGTAAAGCTCTCTGGGCGTCTGCTGCGTTTAATCCAATGTATTTATTACTTACTGCAACAACAGGTATAGTCAGATTATTCCACACAGCCCCTCCCAAAACCATAGTCTGTAAAACAGGAGTGGACCGAGTGTGACATCACCACAGTGTTAGCCTTCATGCGCATGAAGCTGATTTGAACCTAAGCTAGCTCGAGCCAGTTTCCTTATATGGTCATTTGTTCCGACGGGGGTTAGCTTTGCGTCGTGACAGCGGCAGACGTGTGGCTAAAGAAAGTTGGAGTTTGGCCCTGAATGAAGGTCTCTGATTGGTCAGTCCTTATATGGTCATATCTGGATTAACAAAGACAGCATCATAAACACAGGATCAAAGGAAAACCACAGATTTAAGCCCAAAATGGTGATGTCACATTTTACTGAGCTGGAGGAGTTTACTTTTACATGGAAGTCAATAGGAGCCAGAGAGAGGAGCCAAACTTCACCATGAGCACATCCCTATTGGGTTTTATTGAGCTAGCGGGTTAGCATTGTTCATACAGTGCCTTGCGAAAGTATTCGCCCCCCTTGAACCTTTCTACATTTCGCCACATTTCAGGCTTCAAACATAAAGATATAAAATCTTAATTTTTTGTCATGAATCAACAAGTGGGACACAATCGTGAAGTGGAATGAAATGTATTGGATAATTTAAACTTTTTAGAAAAATAAAAAACTGAAAAGTGGGGCGTGCAATATTATTGGGCCCCTTTACTTTCAGTGCAGCAAACTCAGTCCAGAAGTTCAGTGAGGATCTTTGAATGATCCAATGTTGTCCTAAATGACTGATGATAAATAGAATGCACCTGTGTGTAATCAAGTCTCCGTATAAATGCACCTGCTCTTTGATAGTCTCAGGGTTCTGTTTAAAGCACAGAGAGAACCATGAAGACAAAGGAACACACCAGGCAGGTCCGAGATACTGTTGTGGAGAAGTTTAAAGCCGGATTTGGATACAAAAAGATTTTCCAAGCTTTAAACATCTCAAGGAGCCCTGTGCAAGCAATTATATTGAAATGGAAGGAGTATCAGACCACTGCAAATCTACCAAGACCCGGCCGTCCCTCCAAACTTTCATCTCAAACAAGGTTGAAGACTGATCAGAGATGCAGCCAAGAGGCCCATGATCACTCTGGATGAACTGCAGATAACTACAGCTGAGGTGGGGATGGTGCGTTCAGGGTGATCATCATCAGTCATTTAGGACAACATTGGATCATTCAAAGATCCTCACTGAACTTCTGGACTGAGTTTGCTGCACTGAAAGTAAAGGGGCCGAATAATATGCACGCCCCACTTTTCAGTTTTTTATTTGTTAAAAAAGTTTAAATTATCCAATACATTTCGTTCCACTTCACGATTGTGTCCCACTTGTTGTTGATTCATGACAAAAAATTTAAATTTAAATCTTTATGTTTGAAGCCTGAAATATGGCGAAATGTTGAAAGGTTCAAGGGGGCCGAATACTTTCGCAAGGCACTGTATATGCTGTCTATGCCTACAACAGCAAAGAAAACAAGTTTATCTGTATGGCACAGATTCGTACAGGCAACTCAGAGTGCTGAACAAAACAGGATAAATCACAGTCCTTCAGTTGTTGCAGCGAAACAGAACTGTTTTTAACCCGTCTCACATTTTCAGGAAGACTGTTCCAGATTTTAGCCGCATAAATCTGAAACGCTGCCTTCACTTGTTTAGACGTGACTCTGGGACCAGCAGGAGGCCAGTCCCTGTGCTCCTCAGAGTCCCAGCAGGAGGCCAGTCCCTTTGCTCCTCAGAGTCTCAGCAGGAGGCCAGTCCCTGTGCTCCTCAGAGTCCCAGCAGGAGGCCAGTCCCTGTGCTTTTATACTAGTCCATGGAGAGACTTGTTTAAAGTCTATTCTCTGAGCCACAAGTGCAGAGACCTGAGACCAGGACTAATGTGATGGTACTTCCTGGTTCCCGTCAGACTAGAACCAGTACTTCCTCCTTGCACCACCTCCTTGCACCACCTCCTTGCACTAGCCCCAGTCTGGCGCCGGTGGATGTGAGGCCTCCACATTAACCTGAGACCCGGGAGGCAGTGAGAGTCATAATCACAGCCTTTAGAAGCCGCACTCGCAGCTAATCACATTTGAATAACATTGTCAGAAACATTGTGTCAGATTTGTCCTTCACCGTCTCCCCGCCCGCCTCGCCGCACGCCGCTCTCTGTTGTGCTGTTACGCTATATTTACACGCGTTTGTTATGTAGCAGCTCGCAGACAACCTTGGGAAAAAAAGGAAAAGCCAAGGCTGATAGCGGCGCGCTCGCAAAATCTCCCTTTGAAGACGTAACAACATTAATTAGCTCAATCGAATGGAAATGCAGACATGACATGAGCGCGTTCTGCCGAGCGGGTGGAAGGCTGGTGGTGGGGGTGGTAGCACGCGGGGGGGGGGGGCACATATTTTATACGTTTCTCCGTCTGTTTTCGCCTGTGATCGGCGAGCGTGAGCAGTGAGCGCGTCTGGTCATCTCCGCGCAGGGCATGGTGTAACCTTAAGCCGCGATGGAGCCGGGGAAGTCTCCTCTCTCCATCTGGCTTTGAGAGATCACGGGAGGACGAGAAAGTAGTAGAAGAAGAAAAGGAGGAAGGAAAGCAAAGAGAAAGACGCACACTGGTTTTGTTGTTGTGTTTCAAGTGGTTAAAATATGCTTTAGCCTCTAGGTGCGCACGGCTGCATATTTAGCTACAAAAAACTCCAGGTGTGAATGTAAATGTGCGCCGCAGCCGGAGCAGAGCAGGAATATATGAGGATTTTGTGGTTTGGTTTCAGAGCCGAGGCGCCGATGTGACTTGGGTTGAATAGAAAACATGAAAAATCGACTTTTTACAGATTCTCCAGTTTTCCCTTGTCGTTTATGAAGTAGTTTTTGGAGCGATTCATGCGACTTTGAGTGTGTTTGTGTTCAGGCCTAAATCACAGCAGATGTCGTCGAGGAGGACTCCACAAAGATGTCGATTCCTCAACAGCAGATCAGAGAATCAAACGGTTCGAAACGCTGGAGATGGTATAAGGTGAGTTTGTTTGAGGAGCACAGTTCAGACCCAAGGGACCGCAAAGTGACAAAACTAAGAAACAAAATCATGAATAAGTACGGTACATTACAAAAGGGTGAAGAACATTGTCATTCATTAATTCATTTGTTTGTTTTCGTCCCCTTTAATAATCCATCTCTGGTTTGGGGGAGGGGGGCTGCCCCAGTCCTCACAGCACCAGTCCCTCTGGTCCTGCTGCAGGGGGTGGGCTGCTCCATGCGGGGGCGTCAGGCAAAGTGGGGTTGTGTGTCTTGCCCTGGGACACAACAACAGCAGACATCAGTGGGAGCAGGTGACATTGAACCCACAACCATTAGGTTCAAAGATCAATGCTCTACCACCTGAGTCACTGTCGTAAATGAAGTTCATAAGGATAAATAAAGTTATTTGGATTGAATTCAAATATCCCCATTTCCTGTCGCTCTGTAGCCCACTTCATTTGGCAGTTTGGCTGGTGGTCCTGGTCGGACTGGACAGGTCTGGTCCTGGTCGGACTGGAAAGGTCTGGTCCTGGTGGGACTCGACAGGTCTGGTCCTGGTGGTGGGACTGGACAGGTCTGGTCCTGGTGGGACTGGATATGTCTGGTCCTGGTGGGACTCGACCGGTCTGGTCCTGGTGGGACTGGACAGGTCTGGTCCTGGTGGGACTGGACAAGTCTGGTCCTGGTGGGACTGGATATGTCTGGTCCTGGTGTTGGGACTGGACAGGTCTGGTCCAGCTGGGACTGGACAGGTCTGGTCCTGGTGGGACTGGACAGGTCTGGTCCTGGTGGGACTGGACAGGTCTGGTCCTGGTGGGACTGGATATGTCTGGTCCTGGTGGGACTCGACAGGTCTGGTCCTGGTGGGACTCGACAGGTCTGGTCCTGGTGGGACTGGACAGGTCCGGATTCTGGTCTGACTCTGAGTAGTACTAGTCACCATAGCAACACACAAGAGTTAGAATTAGACTGTTTTATCTGTATTTCATTTTTAGCACAAAAAAACGTATACATTTCTCATTTTTGATGAAAACTGAATATTTTTGGGGGTAATTTCTCAGACGTCTATTTGTTTGAATGTCAATATTTATGGATTTCAGTTTTATTCACCAGTTTTAGCCAAAAAAAAACCACAAACATGACTTACTTTTGATAAATTTGGTGGAAAACGAAACATTTTTGGGAGAATTTCTTTCTATTTGTTTGGATGAGAGCAGTCGACATGTGCGGCCTCTGGACTCTGCTCCTCACGGACCAATGGCTCTGTGTGCTTTCATCATTTCCTGTTTGATTCTCTGATCTGTGTTGGAGAATCGACAACTGAGATAAACCACTGCTGTGATTTAGGACCATAGAAAAGAAAACGACGGCTCCTGTAGTTTCTGAGGCTCTACAGAAGTCAGAGCTGAGACTGTTGTTGTCGTTTGCTCTTTTCACCTCCAAACTTCCTTTCGCTCGCAGGTGAGCAGGAGGGAGCAGTTCCTCCGGGGCAAACGGGGAGGGAGGGGGTGAGGAGGGGGGAGGAGGGGGGGGGGGGGGGGGGGGTGAGGAGGGGGGGGGGGGGGCTGAGGAGGTGAAACGTGTGAGATGTACTCAGGCGTTTTACTGTAACTGTCACGGCGTCTCTGATGTGAGGCTCACGGGGCTGCTCTAAATACAGCGGCGTCTTTAAAAGTGAACATTTTGCGACATTTTGAGATCGTACAGAAAGTTACGTTTATAGTTTAGAAACGAGAGGTTTTATGGTTTTATTTCAGTGACAGAGGGTTTGAAGGTCCCACAAAGAAGCCTCCGTTCTGGGTCTACAGCCTCAGTCCTGGGTCTACAGCCTCAGTCCTGGGTCTAAAGCCTCAGTCCTGGGTCTACAGTCTCAGTTCTGGGTCTACAGCCTCAGTCCTGGGTCTACAGCCTCAGTCCTGGGTCTACAGCCTCAGTCCTGGGTCTAAAGCCTCAGTCCTGGGTCTAAAGCTTCAGTGCTGGGTCTATAGCCTCAGTACTGGGTCTACAGCCTCAGTCCTGGGTCTAAAGCCTCAGTCCTGGGTCTAAAGCCTCAGTGCTGGGTCTATAGCCTCAGTACTGGGTCTACAGCCTCAGTCCTGGGTCTACAGCCTCAGTCCTGGGTCTATAGCCTCAGTACTGGGTCTACAGCCTCAGTCCTGGGTCTACGGCCTCAGTCCTGGGTCTAAAGCCTCAGTCCTGGGTCTAAAGCCTCAGTCCTGGGTCTACGGCCTCAGTCCTGGGTCTACAGCCTCAGTCCTGGGTCTACGGCCTCAGTCCTGGGTCTACGGCCTCAGTCCTGGGTCTAAAGCCTCAGTACTGGGTCTACAGCCTCAGTACTGGGTCTACGGCCTCAGTCCTGGGTCTAAAGCCTCAGTCCTGGGTCTACAGCCTCAGTCCTGGGTCTACGGCCTCAGTCCTGGGTCTAAAGCCTCAGTACTGGGTCTACAGCCTCAGTACTGGGTCTACGGCCTCAGTCCTGGGTCTACAGCCTCAGTCCTGGGTTTACAGCCTCAGTCCTGGGTCTACAGCAGCAGAGGTGGAGGTGCCACTTGGTTCGGACCATTTTCTCTGCTCTGGTTCCGAGTGAAATTCTGAATGCTTTATTAGGCAAGGCAAGTTTATTTATATACCACAATTCATACACAAGGCAACACAAAGTGCTGAACAAAATAAGAAATCATTAAAATCATAAATAATCACAGAACATTAAAAAAAAAGATAAAAATATAAAATCCCTCAGTTGTAGCACAGCTAAACAGAACGGTCTTTAACCTGGTTTTAAACATTGTCAGAGAGGAGGCCTGTCTCACATCTTCAGGAAGACTGTTCCAGATTTTAGCAGCATGAATCTGAAAAGCAGCCTCCCCATGTTTAGTTCTGACTCTGGGCACTAACAGGAGTCCAGTCCCTGTGCTCCTCAGAGTCCCAGCAGGAGGCCAGTCCCTGTGCTCCTCAGAGTCCCAGCAGGAGTCCAGTCCCTGTGCTCCTCAGAGTCCCAGCAGGAGTCCAGTCCCTGTGCTCCTCAGAGTCCCAGCAGGAGGCCAGTCCCTGTGCTCCTCAGAGTCCCAGCAGGAGTCCAGTCCCTGTGCTCCTCAGAGTCCGGGCTGGTTCATATGGGACTAACATGTCACTAATATATTTTGGTGCGAGGCCATGGAGAGACTTGTAACAAGCAGAGCTGTTTTAAAGTCTATTCTCTGAGCCACAAGAAGCCAGTGCAGAGACCTGAGGACTGGTCGTACTTCCTGGTTCTAGTCAGGACTAATGTGGTCGTACTTCCTGGTTCTAGTCAGGACTAATGTGGTCGTACTTCCTGGTTCTAGTCAGGACTAATGTGGTCGTACTTCCTGGTTCTAGTCAGGACTAATGTGGTCGTACTTCCTGGTTCTAGTCAGGACTAATGTGGTCGTACTTCCTGGTTCTAGTCAGGACTAATGTGGTCGTACTTCCTGGTTCTAGTCAGGACTAATGTGATCGTACTTCCTGGTTCTAGTCAGGACTCGAGCTGCTGCTCCAGCTCTTCTTCGGTTCTTGGACAATTGTTAGAATCTTATTGATCGATGCAGTTGGTGTAGACCTTGACCAGTCTAGACTCAGGAGTCTCCTTCAAGTCTGAGGAAAGATGTGGTCTGTAAATAATCTGTAAATAATCTGTAAATACATTTGTTAATGAATTTGTAAATAAAATACACTTGGGAGCAACAGCATCATTTCATTTTGCCTGTGACAGTACTTTTGCTTTACATCCCCATGTCCCCCTCGTCCCCTTTGCCCCTCCTCCCCCTCCTCCCCCCTCGGTCTCCTCGTAGTCTCCCTGTGAATGATGACATCATGGGGGCGGTGGTCCGTGTCGGTCCTGTCTCACACATGTCCCAGCAGGAGCAGCGCCGTGTGGCCCCCTGACATCCTGCCCCTCTCCCCTGCCTCCCCCCCCCCCCCCCCCCCCTGCCTCCCCCCCCCCCCCCCCCCCCCCCCGTGTGTGTGTGTGTCGGTGTTAGCAGGGGGGCTGAGCTGTGAGCGTGGGTTAAAACAGCAGCCCTTCAGCCGTGACTGGCAGCCGCACTCGTCCCGGGGCGGGCGTGGCAGCCAGCGGAGCAGAGCGACACGGGGCCTCGGCTCCAGCGATCAGGGATAGTTTGTTTGGTGCTGGGGGGTCACAGAGAGGGGGGGGTCTCACTGGAGCAGAGCCGCATACAGTCTCTGCTCAACGTATGGCACTAGAAGTTATTTACATTCAAGATACAGTTTGTTTCGCATTTGCAGTAAAACCACAGTGGAATAATAATAATAATTAAAGCCGCAAGCGGCGATGAAAGGCCTCGCCCCTATTGCGACCGCCTCCTGGGCGCCGGTCCCACAAGCGTCACGCCGACGAATTGGCAGCCCGATCTGACCAGGATTACGTATATAAAAGCTAATTTATATGATAAAGTGCGTCCCTAGTGGTCACCTCCGGGACATGCACCCTCTACGTAGAGTAGTATTTTGCTCGTACAGATGTAAAGATTTGATTTTGCAACTTTGGTGAAGATTGGAAAAGTTTAGGTCAGAAGCCTTCCATAGGTGGCGCTGTAGAGTCATATTAGGTGTGTGTTTTCACACCATTACTCTCAGGCCATTACCAACTGTTAGTGATGTGAGTTTCAGCTCTGTAGGTCTGAGCCTGTGGTCAGGAGAGCATCAAACATGGAGAAATTCCCCACTACCTCGCATGAAAACGATAACAAAATTCTAACTTTTATGCGATGATTGCATAACTTCAATCCGTCCCGATGGAGAAACGACATGGTAGAAGTCTGTGCGATGAAAATCTAGGGACTAGTACGAAGCCAAAAATGCGACACCTTGAACTGCCTGTAGGTGGCGCTGTTGCACTCACAGTTGTGTGTTGCATATTGTTGTGTTCAGGGTCATACGCTGTATTTCTGAATTCATTTTTAGCCTCATCGGACAAACATTTTGCCCCATAAAGCTCATTCATTAACTTTACGGCGCCCCCAGTGGTCAGGTGTGGGACTTACAACTTTTGCGTAATGTAATGTGTTGCTCGTCTCGGTCCAGAGAATACACTCAGCGATTTTCGGGCCGATCCGAGCACTAGTGCCCTATTACTTTCCGACAGGTGGCGCTAAAGAGCTCAAATTGGGCGAATGATTTTAGTGTCATTGCGTTCAGGCCATAACCTAATATTACTGATGTGAGTCTCAGCTCTGTAGGTCTGAGCCTGTGGCCCTCAGGGCTCAGCGAAAATGGCCAAAACGAAGGCCTTATTCGCCATGGCGAGGGACGAAAACGGTGAAGATTTTCTAACTTTTTTTCGATGATTATATAACTTCAATCCGTCCAGATTGGGAAATGACGTGGTAGAACTCTGTGTGTTGACAAACCAGGGACTAGTTCGAATTTGTAAATGAAAAGTCAAATTAGCGGCGAAACTTCGGCCCATCATGGCCGACTTCCTGTTGGTCCCAGACATGTGCTTAGACCGGCTTTTATGCTCGTCTCATAGAGATCTATCACTCATCCGAATTTCGTGTACCTACTCAAAAATTTGAAAAAAAATCCCCAGAGGGTCCAAAAAAATTAAATTTCTAGAAAAAATTAAATTTCTAGGGGGCGTTATAGAGTCGGCGAGCGTCGGACAATCTGGAAACGTTCATTTTATCAAATTTTTCGCCGAACCGGTCGTTTTAGACCCCCCATGTGCAGACTTTCGTGCATGTCTTCAGGGTCAAAAATCGAATTGAAGATGCGGAAAAAAAAGAATAATATGAAACCGGTGAATAACAATAGGCCTCCCCAATACTTCGTATTGGCTCGGCCTAATAATGTATTGGTTTTATACAGAGCTCTCTCAAAGTCTCTTCACATCATTATTCATTCACTCCAAACACGGTGGTGATAAACTACTGTAGCCACAGCTGCCCTGGGGCACACTGACAGAAGCGAGGCAACCAGTCTGTGCCATCGGCCCCTCCCACCATCAACCATTCACACACACACCAGACTCATTCTAATGTGGGGGAAGTGTCTTGCCTAAGGACGCAGCCACAGTTTGGCACTTTACAGCCGCAGCCGCCCCACTGTGGCACCTGCTGTTCAGAGCTCTCCCATCACAGCACTGACCAGGTCCTGCCCTGCTTAGCTCCAGAGGTCTGACGGGAAATGGCAAATAAACTGAGTCTGTTTTGAGCAAGTGCTGTTGATATTCACCTCACAACAACCCAGTACAACCCCAAACCTGAACCCCACACACACAGGCACACAGAGACACACACACACATACACACTCAAAGACACACACACACACACAGACACACACACACATACACACTCAAAGACAGACACACAAACACACGCTCACACACTCACACACATACATCTATACACACACCTACACTACACACACACACATGCATACAAAAGCATACACACACACATGCACACGCTCACACTTACACACAGACACACACAGACACACACCCTCGTGCTGTGACAGGACTCAGTGGGCGGGGTCACAACACCACACAACAGGAAGTAACCAGGAAAAGGTAAACAAACCCAGCGAGGAGGCGCGATCGCTGGGTTCACACGGCGGTGGAGGAGGAGGAGGAGGGGGAGGAGGGGGAGGAGGGGGAGGAGGGGGAGGGGGAGGAGCAGGAGGGGGCCTGAGATCTACATTCTGGACCACATCACGCCGCTGTGTCGACAAGTATTCCGGGGCTCGTGCCATGAGGCTGCTGCCGCTATCGCAAAAACAGATTGTGTTTTTGCCTCAGACTCGCTTCCTTTCTGGAGATTGGAGGTTGGAGGTGAAGAGGACGCCACGGTGTAGAGGACGCCACGGTGAGAGAGGGCGCCACGGTGAGAGAGGGCGCCACGGTGAGAGAGGGCGCCACGGTGAGAAAGGGCGCCACGGTGAGAATAGACACTGTTTAATTTAGTTTAGTTTAGTTTATAAGGATCCCATTAGTCACTGAGGTGCAGTAGCTCTTCTTCCCTGGAGTTTCTCTCTGGATAACAGCATACAATTATTAATAAATTGTACACACACTCGGGGCGGCACGGTGGCTGAGTGGTTGGAACAGGGCCTTTCTGCGTGGAGTTTGCATGTTCTCCTCGTGTCTGCGTAAGTTTCCTGCGGGTGCTCCGGTTTCCCCTACCACTAAAAACATGTGCAACAGTTCAGGGTGAATGAGTGTGTGTTTGTGAGTGCGACTGTGGGACAACAGATGGAAATGACCCAACCAAATGAACAATAAAAAAACACACAAACACACACAGAGACACACACAACAACTTGAAAGCTACATCTATCTATGTCTCCCCCTCTCTCCCTCCCCCACATCTCTCCCCCCCTCCCTCTTTCTATCCATCTATCTACAAACGTATAAACCACATCAGTAAATCCATGACTAAACCCAGTTCTGCTCTTTCTGTGCCAAAGTCTGTGGTTTCCATCATTTCCGAGTGAGAGATTATGAACGTGAAGGTCAGAGAGAAACTCCTCGCTCTGTCAGGAATTATGATGCTGTCTACGGCGAGTGGCGAGGACTCCCACAACACGGTGAGCGGCGAGGACTCCCACAACACGGTGAGCGGCGAGGACTCCCACAACACGGTGAGTGGCGAGGACTCCCACAACACGGTGAGCGGCGAGGACTCCTATAACACGGTGAGCGGCGAGGACTCCCACAACACGGTGAGTGGCGAGGACTCCCACAACACGGTGAGCGGCGAGGACTCCCCCAACACGGTGAGTGGCGAGGACTCCCACAACACGGTGAGCGGCGAGGACTCCCACAACACGGTGAGTGGCGAGGACTCCTACAACACGGTGAGTGGCGAGGACTCCTACAACACGGTGAGCGGCGAGGACTCCCACAACACGGTGAGTGGCGAGGACTCCTACAACACGGTGAGCGGCGAGGACTCCTACAACACGGTGAGCGGCGAGGACTCCTACAACACGGTGAGTGGCGAGGACTCCTACAACACGGTGAGCGGCGAGGACTCCCACAACACGGTGAGCGGCGAGGACTCCTACAACACGGTGAGCGGCGAGGACTCCTACAACACGGTGAGCGGCGAGGACTCCTACAACACGGTGAGCGGCGAGGACTCCCACAACACGGTGAGCGGCGAGGACTCCCACAACACGGTGAGCGGCGAGGCCTCCTACAACACGGTGAGCGGCGAGGACTCCCACAACACGGTGAGCGGCGAGGACTCCCACAACACGGTGAGCGGCGAGGACTCCTACAACACGGTGAGCGGCGAGGACTCCTACAACACGGTGAGCGGCGAGGACTCCCACAACACGGTGAGCGGCGAGGACTCCCACAACACGGTGAGCGGCGAGGACTCCTACAACACGTGACAACACGGTGAGCGGCGAGGACTCCCCCACACGGTGAGTGGCGAGGACTCCCCAACACGGTGAGCGGCGAGGACTCCCACAACACGGTGAGCGGCGAGGACTCCTACAACACGGTGAGCGGCGAGGACTCCTACAACACGGTGAGCGGCGAGGACTCCCACAACACGGTGAGCGGCGAGGACTCCCACAACACGGTGAGCGGCGAGGACTCCCACAACACGGTGAGCGGCGAGGACTCCTACAACACGGTGAGCGGCGAGGACTCCCACAACACGGTGAGCGGCGAGGACTCCCACAACACGGTGAGCGGCGAGGACTCCCACAACACGGTGAGTGGCGAGGACTCCCACAACACGGTGAGCGGCGAGGACTCCCCCAACACGGTGAGTGGCGAGGACTCCCACAACACGGTGAGCGGCGAGGACTCCCACAACACGGTGAGCGGCGAGGACTCCCACAACACGGTGAGCGGCGAGGACTCCTACAACACGGTGAGCGGCGAGGACTCCTACAACACGGTGAGCGGCGAGGACTCCCACAACACGGTGAGCGGCGAGGACTCCCACAACACGGTGAGCGGCGAGGACTCCCACAACACGGTGAGCGGCGAGGACTCCTACAACACGGTGAGCGGCGAGGACTCCCACAACACGGTGAGCGGCGAGGACTCCCACAACACGGTGAGCGGCGAGGACTCCCACAACACGGTGAGTGGCGAGGACTCCCACAACACGGTGAGCGGCGAGGACTCCCCCAACACGGTGAGTGGCGAGGACTCCCACAACACGGTGAGCGGCGAGGACTCCCACAACACGGTGAGCGGCGAGGACTCCCACAACACGGTGAGTGGCGAGGACTCCCACAACACGGTGAGCGGCGAGGACTCCCCCAACACGGTGAGTGGCGAGGACTCCCACAACACGGTGAGCGGCGAGGACTCCCACAACACGGTGAGTGGCGAGGACTCCTACAACACGGTGAGTGGCGAGGACTCCTACAACACGGTGAGCGGCGAGGACTCCTACAACACGGTGAGTGGCGAGGACTCCTACAACACGGTGAGCGGCGAGGACTCCCACAACACGGTGAGCGGCGAGGACTCCTACAACACGGTGAGCGGCGAGGACTCCTACAACACGGTGAGCGGCGAGGACTCCTACAACACGGTGAGCGGCGAGGACTCCCACAACACGGTGAGCGGCGAGGACTCCCACAACACGGTGAGCGGCGAGGCCTCCTACAACACGGTGAGCGGCGAGGACTCCCACAACACGGTGAGCGGCGAGGACTCCCAACAGGGCGACACACACGGTGAGCGGCGAGGACTCCTACAACACGGTGAGCGGCGAGGACTCCTACAACACGGTGAGCGGCGAGGACTCCACACTCCGGGGACTCCACAACACGGTGAGCGGCGAGGACTCCCACAACACGGTGAGCGGGACGAGCGGCGAGGACTCCTACAACTCACGGTGAGCGGCGAGGACTCCCACAACACGGTGAGCGGCGAGGACTCCCACAACACGGTGAGCGGCGAGGACTCCCACAACACGGTGAGCGGCGAGGACTCCTACAACACGGTGAGCGGCGAGGACTCCCACAACACGGTGAGCGGCGAGGACTCCCACAACACGGTGAGCGGCGAGGACTCCCACAACACGGTGAGCGGCGAGGACTCCACAACAGACACGGTGAGCGGCGAGGACTCCCACAACACGGTGAGCGGCGAGGACTCCCACAACACGGTGAGCGGCGAGGACTCCCCAACACGGTGAGTGGCGAGGACTCCCACAACACGGTGAGCGGCGAGGACTCCCCAACACGTGAGGCACGGTGAGCGGCGAGGACTCCACAAACGTCCCTCCACAACACGGTGAGTGGCGAGGACTCCCACAACACGGTGAGCGGCGAGGACTCCCCCAACACGGTGAGTGGCGAGGACTCCCACAACACGGTGAGCGGCGAGGACTCCCACAACACGGTGAGTGGCGAGGACTCCTACAACACGGTGAGTGGCGAGGACTCCTACAACACGGTGAGCGGCGAGGACTCCTATAACACGGTGAGCGGCGAGGACTCCCACAACACGGTGAGCGGCGAGGACTCCTACAACACGGTGAGCGGCGAGGACTCCTACAACACGGTGAGCGGCGAGGACTCCCACAACACGGTGAGCGGCGAGGACTCCGACAACACGGTGAGCGGTGAGGACTCCTACAACACGGTGAGCGGCGAGGACTCCTACAACACGGTGAGCGGCGAGGACTCCCCCAACACGGTGAGCGGCGAGGACTCCCACAACACGGTGAGCGGCGAGGACTCCCACAACACGGTGAGCGGCGAGGACTCCTACAACACGGTGAGCGGCGAGGACTCCTACAACACGGTGAGCGGCGAGGACTCCTACAACACGGTGAGCGGCGAGGCCTCCTACAACACGGTGAGCGGCGAGGACTCCCACAACACGGTGAGCTATAAATTGTGGCGTCAGCTTCAAAGAGACGGAATAAAAGTGTAA